TTTTACAAAAAAATGTGTCTTGTGAGGTGGACCATCCTATTTGCATTTTATTTTGTTACTATTTATTTTTCAGTTGTAGTTGGACACAATACCTTTAGTTTACTTATTTTATTTTTATGTGGTGCAGAGGATTGAGCTAGGCGAGTGCTCCGTGGCTGAGCCACAACCCTAGCCCCCATTTGCATTTTAAGTGAAAGGAAACTCAGAGAAAGGGAGTAATGTGGCTGGGAAGCCACTGAGAAAGAAACTGAATGCATTTGTTTCACCCCAAAACTGTAGTTTTTTTTTTTTTTAAGAGAGAGTGATAGAGACAGAGAGATAATTTTTTTTGCTATTTATTTTTTAGTTTTTGGTGGACACAACATCTTTGTTTGTATGTGGTGCTGAGGATCGAACCTGGGCCGCACGCATGCCAGGCGAGCATGCTACCGCTTGAGCCACATGCCCAGCCCCTGTAGTTTCTATCATTCTKCGGAGAGCAAGTACTCCATCCTGACAGGGTGCTGGAGGAGTTGAAGAAAATGAATTTTTTGCATAAAACCAGCCCCAGCTGAAGGCGTTGAAAATACAGCTAATCAAAGTGATCAAAGTAATTTTTTTTTTTTTTTTTGTATCAGGGATTGAACCCAGGGGTACTTGACCACGGAGCCACATCCCAGGCTTTTTATTTTAAAAAAAAACATTTCTAAAGTTGTTGATAGACCTTTTTTATTTATATATGGTGCTGAGAATAGAATCCAGTGCCTCACACATGCCAGGCAAGTGTGCTACTGCTGAGCCCCAGCCCCCACTTTTTATTTTTGAGACAGGGTCTCACTAAATTGCTTAGGGTCTCACTAAATTGCTAAGGCTGTCCTTGAACTTGTGATCCTCCTGCCTCAGCCTCCTAAATTACCAGGATTACAAGTGTGGACCACCATGCTTGGCTTCAAAGTGTTCTTGAACTCTCAGATGGAGATGACCTATAGCAGGCAGGAAACACTGTAATCTGGCGTCCAAGGTGGTCATCATCTATAAAATAATTGCCTGGGCCAAGGGCCACCTGGATACTAACATTATTCTTAGCTTTCCCAGGGCCCAGACTTCTTGTGTTTTGAACAATCAGTTCAGAGGAGGTCTGGGGCTATTTGAGGACCCCTTCGGGTTGGTGTTTTAGGAGATAATCCTGCTCTGAAGTCAGACCTTCCAGTCTGGCTTGGCAGCTGAGACCATAACCCTTTTGTCTTCTCCCCCAACCTCATCTTGGGCCTGATGCTTCTGCTACTAGAAATTTGACTACACCACCCAGCACCCTTTATTCCCTAGAGATTGCCCTTGAACCATGCTCTCTCAGATGAGACCATGTTCCTCAAACAGCTGGCCTCTATACTTCTGGGCTTCAATTTCCTTAATTATAAAATGCAGATAGTAAACTATGGGGCTTTCATATGATGTGAGAATCTTACACAATAAGGAAAGAGAAAGATTTGGTGAATGGGGGGGGGCCCAATACTTCTGTCAGTAAATCCCACAAATTTTACTAGCCTCATGACAATTGTGTATAGTCTACAGGAGAAACTGTCTCCTTCAAAGAACACAGGGTTCTTTAGGAGATAGGGGTTTGAGGAAGTTGGTAATTTTGGAAATTTTACTTATCAAAAGCTCTGGGTGCCAAGTGTGGTGGCACATGCCTGTAAACCCAGCAATTTGAGAGGCTGAGGCAGAAGCTTGTCAAGTTGGAAGACAGCCTGGGCAACTGAGTGGGACCTGTCTCAAAAAAAAAAAAATAATAAAAAGGGTTGGGGATGTCACTCAGTGACAGTGTGCCCCTGGGTTCAATCCCTAGTGCTGGGGAAAAAAGAAAAAAAGGGGGGCTGGGCAGCAGACATACCTAAAAGCACAGATCTAGCAACCTTTTATAGTATAAGATGAAGGACAATGAGGTCCAAGTCGAGTAAGCAGGAACTCCAGAGAACTTTTTATTTTCAGGATAATAACTGGTTGATTGCTTGGTTTATTATGCAAGGCACTATTGTTAAAAATAAAATCAGATCAAGTTAAAATTTTAAGAGTTTATTGTGCGTACAAAAGAACAGTCCATGAATCTGTAGACTGCAAATCGAGATTGACAAGTTTCAATTTATAGCAGTTAAAACAGTTTATAAAGCATAAAAGAGGAAGTATTTTTGACCTTTTGCTAGATTAACTGTCATATATTTTTTTTCTAAGACAAACAGAACTGTTTAAAGCGACTTGTCTGTAGCTTATTGGTTTAATTTCATCGACTCAGGCTATTAAGGACAAAAATCTTTATGCATTTTATTTAAAAAAAAAATATATATATATATATATTTGGTTGTAGTTCGGCACATTGCCTTTATTTTGTTTATTTATTTATTTTATGTGGTGCTAAGGATCAAACCCAGGGCCTCACATGTGCTAGGCTAGCATTCTACCACTGAGCCACAACCCCAGCCCTATTTTAAAAATTTTTAAAATAATTTTTTAGTTGTTGATGGACTTTTATTTCATTTATTTATTTATATGTGGTGCTGAGGATGGAACCCACTGCCTCACACATGCTAGGCAAGCACTCCACTACTGAGCCATAACCCAACCCCAGCCCATATGCATTTTATTTTTAGAGTTATCATTTCTGGGGGAAAATCAGGATGACTTAAGTTTCAGCTCTGGGGCTAGAAGTTGCTGATCTTGAGGTATCTGATTGTAGCCTGCATTTTTATTTATTTAACAATTCTAACAACTTTATTATGTACAGTGCTCCCTGGTCCTCCTCCTCTTCCTCCTTTGGTCTCATTATCTTCTTTAATCCTCCCATCTGCACTTGGAATAGGAACAATTATTACCTCTGTTTCACAATTGAGGAAACACAGAGAACTATCATTTGCTCAAGGCCACACAGTGGGTAAATGTAGACCTAGATGTGAAACCCAGGAAGCTTGAGATCCCATGCTCATCCTGCCTCCAGGGTCTTATAATTTATGTTTTACAGAAAAGACAGCCTAATTCATGAGTGACTGGATCTCAAAAAGGGGGCCAGGCTCCTTGGCACAAGGGTTGCCCAACCAGGAATGGAATTTGAAGAGCTCATTAAGGGGTAGTTACGCATCTTACTTACCTTCTGAGGTGACTGAATATTTAGAGGACTGAGAGAAGGCTGAAGTTTAGACCTTTTGAGGCTTTCTCAAATGTTTAGTCCATTTTTGTGACTGCTTCTCTGGATGAGACTGTTTGGAAATAACATAAACATGAGCTCCTGCAGGCAGTGTAGTATACAGCTAAAATCGTGGCTCTGCTAGACCCTGCCTGGAGGGGGGAACTACATCACTTCTGTAACTCTGTTCCCTATTTGCATCATGCCCCTACTCTAAGGGCTATTCAAGCCTCTGTGTTGACAGGTTCCTCCAAAAATAACATTTTTTATTTTTTATTTGAGAGAGGAGAACGGAATTAGAAATTCAAGTGCAGGACTCTARAGGAAACAAGTCTATTCAGGAAGAATCAAGAGCAGATCCTAGAGTGAGACTAGGAGGTAATACATTCAAAAGTTACCCCTGGGGCTGGGAATATTGCTCAGTGATGGAGAGCTTGCTTAGCACGCAGAGGCCCTGGGTTCTAGCCCCACCACTGCAATACACACAACAATCTCCCAAAAGTTATACCTGTGGAGTCTGAGAAAAGAATTCTGATGCATTTAAATTTCCCCTTATATTGTCCATTGGCAYCCTTTTCTAACTAATTGGGTCATGGGTTGCTTAAACATCTATGATTCTCATGTGGGGCCCCAGGTGTGTTTTTGCAGCACTAAGCTCATTGCCTAGCACATAATAGTTAGGGTCGTCAGATAAAATGCAAAGCGTACAGTTGTGTGAATTTTAGAAAATTGGTTTTTAATATGAGTATGTTCCGTTTGTTTATCTAAAATTCAAATTAAGCTGGGTTTCCTGTGTTTTATCCGCTAAATCTGACAACCTTATTAGTAGGGACTGGAAAGTACTTGTGGACGAAATTATTAAATAGTTTTCTGCCTTGGTTTTGCACCTGTGGTGAGACCCCTTGTTGGCAACACAGCTTCTCTCTGCGCCTGTCTTCCTATTGGAGAAGTGGGAGTTTGGAGGAGTCACTGAAGTGCAGGGATCACCAGTGTAAGAAAGCGCCGGGTTAGCTGCCAGAGTAGGAAGAGAAGTGGGGTCATGCCTGTGCCAGGTAACCCAGGTCCTCAAACTGGGAACCGGCGACTTCTACTTCGGCCAGGGCCGAGGAAGCCCCCGCCCAGTCTCCAGGTTCAGAGTCAGGCCAGAGGCTGTCGCCATGGAGACGCGGGCAGCCGGGACCCCTCCTTCACCTAGCCACGCGTTTCCGCTGCGTTGGAGCCTTCTGATTGGACGGCCGCTTGGACTCTACCACCCGCCCAGAGCCCGCTAAGGGGTGGGGGCGGGACCCTATCCTCGTGGGACTCGTGTGCTCCAGTCGTGTTCCTGTGGCCTCTTTGGCAAAGGCTGGGTCCTTTGTCTCACACGGAGAAAAGGCTGAGTCTCTTAGGTCAGGAGAGTGTCCACGGCTTCTCCTACTTGAGCTTATGCTCATGCCTCTCCCTGAGAAAAAAAGGGGCGGGAAAGACAGCAACGCCCCCTCCAGAGCTTATTCGGTCCCAAGATTTTTAGCACCGGAAGTGCTGGCGACGTGTCAGTGCGCCCTATACTAAACCTTCCCCCCCACCCCCCAGGCCACCTTTCCCATTCAGCTGTGGGATTCCGGGGCCGCCTGGGCGCTGCACCCGCCACTTCCGCATCGGACCGCTGCTTCAACCGAACTCCCTCCCTCTGCGCGCGCTCCATCTCTTGCCCGATGGTTGGACCGGAGCCTGGGAGTGGCCACGCCTTTTCTCGCGTCTGATAGCCAATGGGCGGGCGGCTCCCGGCGGGGTGGTGGGTAATTAATAAGGAATCGGCGCTGATTGGCTACAGGGTCTTGGCTGGGAGGCAGGGCGGCGGGGTAGGTTGTTCCTGAGGTGGGAGGCGGCACCCGTGGCTGAGAAAGAGGCCTGAGAGCGACATGTCCCCGGCGGCTGAGGCAGAGCGGCCAGTGGCACTGTTTTACTGAGTCGGGGGCGGCCTGGCGGCCGGCCAAAGACGAAGGTCGGCGGGGGCTGCCCCCGCAGTGGTGGCGGCCATGCTGGGTGCCCGGGTGGTTGAAGGAGCCGCTGGGGCGCTTCTGCGACTGCTGCTACTGATGCTCCTGCCGTCGCTCCGGGAGCCGAGACTCGGCGTGACCGGCGTGGTTGGGGCCGGGCTGCCTGAGAGCGTCATTTGGGCGGTCAACGCGGGCGGAGAGGCTCATGTGGACGTACACGGGATCCACTTCCGCAAGGACCCTTTGGAAGGCCGGGTGGGCCGAGGTGAGAGCCCTTCGCCCGCGCTGCGGGATTCCAGGCCTGCGGTGCTGGGCGCAGCTGGTGGACGGCTGCGGGCCCTGACCCCGTTCCTCGACTAGGGGCCACGTCTCTGGAGTGAAGTTTCTTTGCAGTTTCCTCAAGGACCTGGTCATACGCCCAGGGCCTAGCACTGGCTCGAAGCTACCAAGAGCTATGGAGGCAGAGAGTTGGCGAGAAGTTATATTTGGACCTCGCATCCTGGATTTTCTCAGCCCCTCACCCCCACCCAAACTGGGAAAGTAAAGACCAGAGATGCCTCTTGCCCTTCGAGGCCAGGCGAGTTATAACTCATCAGTACTCCTGCTGTCTTATCGAGACAGTTCTTGGTAGATTCTTGCGACCCAGATATCTGCTGCTTTTCCTCCCCTTCTAAAGGAGCCGGGCTTGATTCTTAGCCAGAATAGCAAGGAATCTTTGAAGGGGATGGGCCAGGAAAGTTTGATTGTAGCCTTCTCCCCCGCCCTCCCTTGGAGCAAATATGTGTACTTCAAAGGTAGAAGTAGTTATATTGAAGCCATCTTGCACGTGAGTCTGGGGGCAGTGTGTCAATTGTGTCATCCTGGGTAAGATCTGAATATCTATAGTGTGGTACCACCTACCCGGGTTGATCCTAAGAGGTTTGACTCCTGCTTTTGGGAAAAGTGTGTCTAAACTGGTTGAGCAACAGTGGCTTTTACAGAGCTGCACAGTTCTCAGAGAGTGTAAGAATTGCTAGGAGAGGTAGTTAAAAATGCAGATTCCTGGTCCTCACTCCAGATCAAATAGATTGATTCCCCGCTGCTGAGATCTAGGTTTCTGTATCAGTTGCTGTGAGATACTTCATTTGCAAACCACTCTTTGGGGGAAATCTGCTCTAGATTTCTTTATTTCTTCTGTAAGTAGAATTGGAAAACAGACTTAAGAAGGAAGTTCCTTGCTTCATGTGTTGGAAGGAGATTTATACTATCTGCTGGGTTAAGAGGCTGCCCAACTGGCAATATGCCACTCTAGCCAACCTAGGAGACAGACTTTTTTTTTTTTTCCACGATGTCCATATCTGGCTCTTGCCTTTACTAAAGGATTGCATTTAGTTTCTACAAGTTAATTGCAGTTTCCTGGAAGTTTATTATATTAGGAGTTTATTGCTTTCATACATCTGAGGATCTTGGGACACAGGGCTTCTTTCTGAAGTTCTGTGTTTGTCTTGGAATTTGTTTAGCCCTGGCATGTAGATCCCAGTATCCTGGGTTGAGCTGAGTCAGAGCTTCAGTCCTGCAGCAGCCAAGCCAGACTTCATAGCAGGAGGTCATTGCTATCTCTATCCTGGACCCTTCCTCTTTCCCTGTGGTCTGGACTGGGAGGAAGGAGGTCTGAGGAAACTACAAACAGTTTGTGGACTTTGCCTCTTGAGATAACTGTAGTGAGGACAGTGAGTAAGTGGTTTCTCTCACTTAGCAGATACCAGGCTCTACATTGGTTACATTGTTCTAATAGGTCCCTTGGGCAGTGGATAAAGCTGACCAACACCACACAGGTTTAATCCCCAGGTACTGATCTTATTCAGAAATTCTGGCTTTAGTTTGCTGGTGCAGGTTTTTTTTTGTCTTTGTTTCGGTATGGTCAGCAGTGAGCCAGGCTTGCTGTCCTTGGGTTATTGGCTCATGGTTGCAGTTCCTTTGGAGTTTATTGTAGCAGGTGAAATTACATGAGACCTACCAAAGCTCATGCATATTGGAGTCCTGTTTCCGATGTGAACCTCTGGACATTTTTTTTTTTTTTCAAATGGAGGTTCCCTGTCTTCCAGTCTGGTTATGAATTGAACAGTTTTAAGGAATGGATGGGGAAAAGGGTTAGAGTTGGACCACCTTGTTGCAACTTTGGGCTTACCAGATCCCTGAGAGTAGCATTTTTCTGGCATTAGGTCTGGGACTGCTTCCACTCAGGAATCAGCTTTCTAATTTCTTCTTTACTTAGGAGTCAGCCCCACAAGGGAAGTGCAGCTGTTCACTCTGCCTTTCCTTCTTTGGCCCTGTTTGGATAAGGGTGTGCCAGGTATTTGGAGACCCTTGCCTTGTGCAGCTATTTACACTAATTGCTGTAGGAGCCGTAGGCCCTATTTCTTTTCCCACTTGCTTGTGATATTGTTTCCACCATGCTGACGAAAGTTCATTTTGTGTAAAATGAATTCAGGTACTTGTTGCCAAGTTTGTCCAGATAAGGGTTTGGCCTGCTTTTGAATTTGCTGTTTCTCTGTAATTTCTTTGTAGTTCAGCATTCTTGTAACTGAGTGGCCCAGGGCACCTGGTGCCTTATGCATTCAAAGGCACTTTATAATGTTTATTGAATTTCATTTCTGCCTTGAGGATAACTAGTGCTCATAGCCTGGGAAAGGCATTTCAATCTGTGTGCTTCAATAGATAGAAGTATAGAAAGTAGTTCAGCAGTGCTTACCTTGGGGTTTTGGTATGCTACTTGATACGGGTTCTTCTCGGTTATTCTGGATCCCTTTTGACTCTGACTAGGGAAAGACCTGATTATTTGGCCTAAGGGCCCAGAACTTGGCTTGGTTATARAGGGAGGCTATTTCCGCTTCATAGAAAGATACTTACTAAACTTGTATGACCTTGAGGAACTTACTTTACCTCTCTGAGCCTTGTTTTCCCTCTTAATAATACTTCTCATACCTTAGAAATCTGTGACATGACTCTACAAACTCTCCTGTTCAGAGTAGGGTAAACTGTCACTATTTTTTTTTTCCCTGCTTGATGACCTTTTACATGGAATTAAAAATAGGGCAGAACATGGCTGGAGGGTGGGGAATGCTGGCTGAGGATCTAAGCTTATCAAATTACCAATTCTGTTTTCCTAAGGAAGACCCTTTCCTGGACTGGGGAAGGATTTGGCCTTGGGAAGATAAGAGCTTGAAAGTTAGGGTGAGAGAGACAGACCCCTGTCTTTGATTTGCTTAGAATTCTCTTCTGTAGAATGTGTTTAGAATTGTCTCTCTATACTGTTACCTAACAGGCATGCTTTATCTGCAGGCCCTCTGAGTGCTGGAAGTTTGCAGGTAGAGAATTAGGTCTCTGAATCACTGAGTTCCTTGCCTCTGCCCATTGAGACGAATTGTTAAGGAACTAGTCTTACTTGACAAAGAAAGTGATTCAAAAAAATCTAGTGGTCAGGAGTCCTAGTGTTGAAGTGCTGAGAGATTTTGCAGCACCAAGAAGTGCTTCATGGTGGTGGTGTCATGTAGAACAGGTTCCTGCTCATTCTGGCTTTTAACTCCTGTGCTTCCCAGCTGCAGTTTTCCAATTAGTTTGATTGCTTCTTTTTTCCTTTTAGTCCATTTTCTAAATTCTCTATAGAGCAGAGACATTTATTTAGGGCATATTGGGTRCATATCCTTTCCTAGCTCGTGTATCTTCTTGTCTGTCTATGCTTTTCTCTGTGTGAGGCACTGTATTAAACTCTTTACAGGTATTTTTTACTTTATTTATTTTAATGGTACAGGTGTTTTTATTCTTACCACAACTCTGTTTTATAGGTGAGGAAACAGACCTAGAAAAAACAACTTGTTCAGCTTCTCTTAGGTGGCAGAGCCAGGGTTCAAATCCWGGCCTGCCTTACTCTAAAACCTGAGCTGAATTTTCCAAGGAGCCTGGCTGCTCTATTTTGTAGAACTAAGAAGCAGCAGACATAATGTAGGCCCTTTGGCCTCCTTCCTTTTTGGTTAACTGTCTTAAGCTGTATTCTGTCTACTTTAGCAGTGTGCTGACTGTACACTCCATTGTATTTTAGAGAAATCTATTTAACTATGAAGACATGAAGGCTAAGGAGGGAAGACATTTCCTTTTTGCTGCTGCATCTCTTGGGACTTAGGCAAATGCAACTTTGCATGTGGCAAATCTCTTAGGACAGTCACTTGGGCTTTAAAGGGAAAACACTTAAAGGTAATTCCAAGGTTATTAAATAATTTTTGTTCACATAGCTATTTTCTTAACTGTGAGACTGAGACCRCCACAGATTACATTACGGTTGGTTTCTCACTTTTTCCGTTTGGCAAAGGAAAAAAAAAGATTCCCCACACATGCACAAATTTTTCTGTGCATGAATAAGTCAAATCTAGTTAATGTTCCAAATTTGTAAGGATCACAGTCCTCATGGAAGAGGACATTCTTAGTTGGAAGAGAAATAGCAGTCTTTCAGTCTTTATAGGTTTGTGTCCTAGGGTAATGTACTTTGAGGCTGAAAAACGTTTGGGGTTTTCTCTTTTTTTGTTGTTGTTTATTGTAGTACTGGGGATTGAACCCAGGGGCACTGTACCACTGAGTGACTTTTATTTTTCCCAGGTTGGCCTCGAACTTGTGATCCTCCTGTCTCAGCCTCCCAAGTCACTGAGATAACAGGCGTATGCCACCCAGCCAGCCCCTTCTTTGATTTCTTGAGGAGAAATAGGAAGAAAAATGTCTGAAGACAAAAATGCAATGAGTTTCCTGTTTCATTGTCTCATCAGTTCATTTGATTTCATGGCTAATGTCATTTACAGGAATTGTTACAGTTATGTTTATTTTTTTAAGAGCTTGACCTCATCCACTAGGTCTTTTGGTTAATCTTTTACCTTTTGCCAGGTCTTCTTCCTTGGAATTTTGGTAATTCAGCTCTAGGGATGACACTTGGCATCTCCCAAAGGATCTAGTTGGCAGATGACTTCAGGGTCACCATGAGAGATTGGAAGGCAGTCTTGAAGTCTTTTTTTTTTAAAGATGATTCTGGGTGGTTTTTTTTTTTTTTTATGTCTTTATTTATTTATTTTTATGTGGTGTGGAGGATCGAACCCAGGGTCTCTCCCGTGCTAGGCAAACACTGTATCGCTGAGCCACAACCCCAGCCCCAGTCTTGAAGTCTTAATTCCATGCTGGAGGAAAAATTACCCTACCCTACTATCTGTCTGTAGTTGGGAAAGTAAACTATGGGACACTGGAAAGTATCTGTAGGATAAAGGAATCAGGCTGCTCTCTGAAGGAGGAAGCAGAAGTATTATCCTTGGGGGCTGGAAGGTGATATTTTGTGAAAAGACCCTAGTTTATTTTGTTGAGTGGGGGGAAAACATGAATACACAACTTATCTTCTCCCGAGGTTGGGAGAGACCTGGGGACAATAGAGGTGTTTGACTTTTCTGATACTGACCCCAAGGTAAACTTTGTACTTTTACTCTACTTTGTTCCTTGTTCTTTTTGTGAAATGGAAATGGTGTCTCCCCAGGACTTGGGCATCTTAAGCCAGAGGTAGCAGTAGGACCTTGGCAGATTGACTTCCCTGCAGATGCTCTAGACTCCTGGTGAGCAGGGCATGACTTCTCTGCTTTGTAGGTACTTCCTTTGTTGCCATTTGTTCATTTAGCAAACAACACTGAGTTTATAGGTGAGGAAACAGACCTATATTGGTCTGAGTGGCTACTATGTCAGGTGCTGTGGTAGGTGCTAGAGCTTTGGTAGAACTGCTTTCTTCTATTGGTTTAATTTAGGAAATGTTTAAGAGTTGGAGTTTTATGAGTCTGTGGGTAGCAAGGTGCTTGAACCTATTGGAAATTAGAGAGTTCTACCCTTCTTTTTGTGAGTCTGTCTTTTTTTTTTTTTTTTTGGCCAGCATTAAAACTTTTTGAATGAAAATTTGGGAAAAAACAAGTAAAGCTGGGATATTATTCATAGTAAAGATGATAAAAAATGACTTTTGTAACCAGATAGTCCACAGTTTTATTTATTTACTTATTTTTTAAATTCTTTTTTTTTAACATTTATTTTTTAGTTGGACACTATCTTTATTTATTTATTTTTATGTGGTGCTGCGGGTTGAACCCAGGGCTTCGCACATGCTAGGTGAGTGATCTACCGCTGAGCCACAACCCCAGCGCGTCCAGTTTGTTTTAGATGCTTAGTTTTCTTTTCTTTTTTTTTGAACCAGAGATGGAACTCAGGGACCCTTAACCACTGAGTCACATCCCCAGCCCTTTAGAGACAGGGTCTCACTGAGTTGCTTAGGGCCTCACCAAGTTGCTGAAGCTGGCTTTGAACTCACAATCTTCCTGCCTCAGCCTCCAGAGCCACTGGGATTACAGGTGTACTCCACCGCACCCAGCCAGATGATTAATTTTTCTGATTAAGAAAAAACATTTGAACTCGATCTCCTTGATTAGAGTTCCTGGCCATCCCCTGGTTTCWGGAGGTTTTTCTGAAACTCTCCCTCTTCCGGAACCAGGCATCTCCAGCATAGCATTTTTCTTCACATAATGAGTTAGACTTGTTCTCATTCTCCAGATAGCCAGGGGAAATCTTCTCCTGTGAAGGTTAGAGGGGCTATTGAAATGAGTATTGAGTTTCTTTCATGTGCTCTTCCTTGGCAATGGCTATCTGATTCTTGCTTTTGTGTGAGCTCTGTTTGGAGCCAGGTGCAGAGGAGGTGGCTCCTCCTACTGAAAGGGTTATTAGCATTACCCCAGAAATGCCTCTGACAGTTCTGGGGTCTCTGCTCTTTTATATCTTGCCTCTGATGTGCTTTCTGTCTTGTTCCCAGCTTCAGATTATGGCATGAAACTGCCAATTCTGCGTTCCAACCCAGAGGACCAGATCCTGTATCAAACAGAGCGGTACAATGAAGAGACCTTTGGCTATGAAGTGCCCATCAAGGAGGAGGGGGACTATGTGCTGGTGTTGAAATTTGCAGAGGTCTACTTTGCACAGTCCCAGCAGAAGGTAAGGTCTTGACTTAGTGAGACATTGATACTCTTGGACATTCCTTTGCTATGGGGCCACAGAGTGTCAGAGCCTCCCAGAAGGGAGTTACAGATGAGCTTTGAGGAAAAGCCGGATTCTTTCTGCATCTGAGAAAGCTGTGTCCCATTGCCTGTGTGACCACACTTGCCTTGGGGGTTGGTGACAGAGAGCATTGCTAGGGCTGGGGATGTGGCTCAAGCGGTAGTRTGCTCGCCTGGCATGCATGCGGCCCGGGTTCAATCCTCAGCACCACATGTAAAACAAAGATGTTGTGTCCAAAGAGCATTGCTAGAATYCTAGTTCTTGGCAACTGACTGATCCTGTTAAGGTCCTCCTGGTTACTTCTCTTCCCTTGACTTTCATTGCCTTCCTGTTTTTAGCCTTTTCCTTTTCCTCTGTCTTTTCCTGTGAATTTCCTTCTTTGCATGCTGAGATTTTTGTTTTTATTCTTTGTTTCTTGAGGCAAATATGCTACTGCCATGGCAATGAAGGAACATAGTTTTGGTTTGGTTYGGATAAAGGACTCTAGCCACCCCAGAGTATATCCAGACCTATCATTTTTTCTTTTGAACTTGAAGCCCAGGCAGGTGCATAATGTCCGATTCCTTGAAGAGGTACAAAGCTGATGGTTTTGACATAGTCTCTTTTTCTAATCCTTGAAGGTATTTGATGTACGATTAAATGGCCAYGTCGTGGTGAAGGATTTGGATATCTTTGATCGTGTTGGACACAGCACAGCTCACGATGAAATCATCCCTATGAGCATCAGAAAGGGGAAGCTGAGTGTACAGGGGGAAGTGTCTACCTTCACAGGGAAACTCTACATTGAGTTTGTCAAGGTAATGCCCCATTCTGTCTCATGGTTGAGGAACGGCTCAGAAGAGTGGGTGAGGATAACATATTGGCTGCTGTGTGGATTGACCATTCTTCCCCATTTCCTAGGGGTATTATGACAATCCCAAAGTCTGTGCACTCTACATCATGGCTGGAACAGTGGATGGTAAGTTGTGCTTTTGATTTGCTTTCTGACTCAGGCTGAAAGATATGGTTCAGGAAACCCTCAGGAGATAATTTAGCTGATCATTATTTTATTAACACTTAAAGCCAGATTGTGGGGAATTCAGAGTCACAAGGATGAGGATGAAGTATTTCATAGTACTAGCCACAAGCTTTGAAAAAAGATATGTGTTCTTTCTTTTACTATTTAATCAGCTGTTTGGCCTTAGACAAATTCTTTTAAATTTCCTATAAATTGGGATTAATAATGGTTCCCATTGGGGTGCCTGACCCCAATTTGGTATTGCCTTAAACTTGTCCTCATTTCAATTCTTGTTGACATTTATTTCTTAGGAGAAAAAGGCAAAAGGAAGACTTTGTTAGGATTTTGGTATGTTCTGAAGAACTCCAGTGTTGCTGGAGTACACTGGGACCAAAGTCCATTTATTCATTTATTCATATCTCTTTGACCTTGGGATTCAGACTCTTGCTTAGGGTTTCGATTATCCTGGCTGCCAGCTTCCCAGCTGATGTTTGCAGAGAAAACTTGTATCTTAGTGATTTTTCTTCCCTATCCTCTCTCTGTGCCTTTACCCAAGTTGTCTTGAGTACACATCTTATCATCTTGTATTGGTGTCTCCTCCCAAATTCTGATGTGATGGCATCTAGGAAGATGATATCTTACACCAGACAGCTTTGTGCTTGAGTCCCTGAGAAAGAGGTAGGACAGAGGGAAAGTGTGAGCAAGAACCCAGAACGCTGTAGATCAGCTTTTTTCTTTAGWTTTTGTGTGAATCTACAGGAAATGTGGACTTGTGCAAAGGAGAAGGGATTTGAAAGGTTAAATTTTGGGTGTGAGATCATTGTCTCTGACCAGTCTAAACTTCTTGGKGCTCTGAAGATGTGGGACAGGAAGGGAGATAGTGAGCTTCTCTGTGAGCAGGGCTTTTCCAACTTTTTAGTTAAATCTGAAGACTAGTGTTAATGGCACTCTGTTGTTCTTTAGGCTGGAGATCATCTGTGCTACTTCTCCTTCCTGTGGACCCTAGATTGGTCACAGGAGTTTCTTTATTGTGGCTCATTTGCTGTTCTTAGGGTCTTACTTCATGCTATTGGTCTCACTTAATAGGCATTTTCTTTCTTGTGTTAGATGTACCAAAGCTACARCCTCATCCAGGACTGGAGAAGAAAGAAGAGGAAGAAGAAGAAGAAGAATATGATGAAGGGTCTAATCTCAAAAGACAGACCAATAAGAACCGGGTGCAGTCTGGCCCTCGCACACCCAACCCCTATGCCTCAGACAACAGCAGCCTCATGTTTCCCATCCTGGTGGCCTTTGGAGTCTTCATTCCAACCCTCTTCTGCCTCTGCCGGTTGTGAGAACAAATGACCATCCTGAGCAGGGTGGAGGGGAATGGGAAACCAAACATGTTGATTTTGGTTTCTGTATTTTTCATAATGATATAAAAAACAAAATGAAACAAATCCAACAAACAAAGCCCACACACACRAAAAGTAAAGGTGATAAAAAGAGACAGAGTGAGTGGAGAGCAGCCCTCATCCACTACTTGGTCCCAGGCCTGCTTCAGTCCTAGTCCTCTCTTTGTGGCTGGCCCCAGCTGTCACTTTCCTCTCTGGGGTACTTGGGGCAAACGGGTCCTTCCTGTCCAGGATCCTTATTTGTATAATGAGTGAAAAGGACTCTGAACTCAGAGTAGTTATGGTTTCTTTTTTTAGGTTAGAAATTTAACAAATAGGGAAATGTCATCTAATTACCTGAGAAGACCAGCCCTGGGAGTTGGGTATGTTCTGAAGTCATGTCCAGATAAGTTTTCATATGTCCTGGGATTGAAAGAATGTGTGTGTGAAGGTATATAAATCAGATGGTAAAGGCAAAAAAATGGGGGAATTGAAAAAGAAAGAAAAGTAAATGCTTCCTTACTTGGAAGCCTTTATGGATTAATCCAATGATGGTTCCTTCTCAAATATTTGAGTTTGTCATTGCTTATCTCCCTGACATGTGCCAGTTAGAGGACTGTCTGGTATCCAAGACAATTAGTTCATATCAGGTCCTCAAATTGCCTCTGACTTGTCACCACAGCAAATCATTTTGATTTCAGTGCCTGTTGGGGACTTGATTTTTCAATTTTTTTTTTTCATAATCTGGCTCATTTGGAATCTCTTCTCCCTTTCAACCATCCTCACTAAATTATTGCCAAGAAGGGAAGGAGACATGGGGATTTGGATTCTCTGTGCTTGAATGTCTTATCTTCTACCACCTCACCTTGTTGGTACCTCCTTCCCTGGATCTCTGAGCCAGCAGCCAGGAGGACCTGACCCAGCAGTTCTTTACTGGCCCCTTTGTAGGGTCTTGCTGCCAGGGGACAGGGATGCTTTCCAGCCTGCAGCAACTGACCACTTGACCTTAAAAGTCTCTTCTGGTCTTTGGATTAGAAAAGGCTTATGTTAGCATAACTTAAGAGCAACCTCAGAGACTTGAGCCCTACYAAGTGATTGACCACTGTTTAGAGTGTCTAGTATTTTATGTTCATTTATCCCCATGTCCTCTGCCCAGAGCTGCCTCAAGGAACTAAATGGATTGACCATATTGGCCCAGTGATTTTTCTCATGGATCTTAATATTATGCCCCTCCATCTTTTCATTTCTCTATCCAAGTTGTAGTCAGGTTCTTGGTGTGATGGGGCTAAAAGAATCTCAGTCAGCTTAGTCCTGGCAGCTCTGAGGTTAACCTTAACATCTAAGTGTCTGTCTGGAATTCCCTAGAAAAATGTCTGCAGAAAATGAAATTTCCCTTTTTTCCTCCTTTCTGATCACTGTCATTCATTTCTCTGTTAGGGCAACAAAGGGAGGACCCAGCTAAGCTAAAAGAAATTTTGTGGGTGGGAGGCAGCAGGATTAGCTTCAGCTTGAGCTGGAGCAGTACAGAATCTCAGGCCAGGCCCATCTTTTTAGAATATGTTTGGTTTTCAGTTTGCCTTGCTAGATGTTTTTTAAGAGTTTCGTATATTTGAACTGTTCCTTATGTGACAAAAGTAAGTGGTTCTTGGGCTCACGTCCTGACTTTGGCTCTTAATGATTACTCCAGGCCAGCGTTTAGTCATTTGAGAATTATAGCCCTTTATTTTCATTGTGACTTGGGCCTCAGTCTTAGGGTACTGAGTCAGGCAGCTGGATGGCTGGGGCCTGAGGTTGCAATCAGAGGAGCAAAGAGGTCCTGGAGTGCTCCTGAAGCCCCCTTCTAAAGGTTGAGGTACTGTAGCCTTGGTCTTGGGGACCAACTTCCTGGACAGTGGATGTCCTTACTAATTGGGCTTCTGACAGTGGTGTTGGTTTCTGTTCTTTCACAACTCCCAAAGGTGTGAGCCACTGCCAATTGATTAGACAAGATGAAGGAGGACTTGTTGCCTCTATTTTGCCTTGTTTGTTAGTTTGCTTGGGTCTCCGAGGAAGGAGGGGTCCTGCCTCCTCACCTCAGCCCATCTCTTCAGTGACTCATTGTCTCAGAAGGAAACCCTGACTCCTGGGGCCATTTCCTAATGGTACTGTAAGCCAAGCAGCTTTGCTCTGCCTGTTTCCAGAAGCCTACTCCTTCCCCCAGGCTCAGAATGGGTGCTTTCCTCTCTGGTTGTATCCAAAAGGAAGGAACATCTTTCTATGGCTGACAAAACTAAAGGGGAAGTGAGGAAATGGGGAGAATTATGGCAGGGGCTGGGATAGACTCCCCTGAAACCAAGCCCACCCAGCTAAAAGATAGCTGCCTAGTGCTAGCAACAGCTGGCTCATGTTGCTGAACTTGAAAGCTTTTTTTTTTTTGCTTTTTTTTTTGCTCCTCCAAGGGATAAAGGTACATGAAGTTTAGGTTAAAGGGATGGAATGGGGCATGCTTTATTTTTATTTTTATATTGTACATGTCAAGAATTACTCTGTTCATCTTTTGCTTTTTACACTGTTTGTTCTCCATCTGTATTTTGAACTAGTGTAGGACTGAGGCTGGGCTCTACTGTAGGGAGTCTGCCTGGGGCTGGTTGGGGAGGAGAGGCCAGGCTCTTCTATTCCATCACATGTCGTCCCAGGGTTTTAGGGTCCATAGAGCCCTACTGGCTAAAGAGCAGATAGCCAGGGTGAAACTCCTTTTGCCAGAAGCATGGCTCTAGTGCAGTTTGCAGAAGACCATGCAAAGATGAYTGCTGGAAACAGGCTGAATCTTGTAGTCTGGTCTGATTTGGGTCAGTGATCCACAGTCTCTAATTGGACTATTTTGGATCTTACTCATGCTGAGTGAAAAATTAAGAAACTGTGGGGTCCATGTCCTGTAAATCAAATCCATTTTTTTTTTTCTGAAAAATCTTCCTTCCTGAGGAGAAGCTGCTCAGTGGATACCCTGAGTTCTGATGATTTAAAAGATAATTTTTAAGCTTCCATGGTATCAGACTCCCAGGAAGACCAGCTGTGACCTGCAGGGCCACCTTGTTGTTGAAAGGTGTGATCGAGTTCTCTTGCTCTCTCTGAGGGGACACAGTCACGCTAGAGGTCACGTGGGCTTTGATGAGGTGGGGTAAAATTTGCATTAGGCTTACCTCCCCCTTTCTGTGCCTGGGAACTGTTGGATCCAGTTTTAGAAGTGTGGTTTGACTTTTGTCTTTTCTGGAGAAGCTTCTGTTTTAAGGAATTTCTCTTCCTTTTTGTTTTGCCCCTAGCTCTCCTAGGGAGACCTGGCCCTGACTTCTAGAATCTAAGCTGAGAATTTCAGAAAACAGCAGCAGTATTTTCCTTGTCCTAGCACTTAGATCCCTTTCCCTAGAAATTGGTTCACCTCGGGAAGCCCAAGGAAAGAATCAGCAGGTTCTCTACCCTCCCTGGGGATTGAGGATGAACCTACCCCGGTCAGCACAGTGCCTTTTCCTCTCCTGCTCTGAGCCAGGGTGGGCATTCCCTCTAGATTCAGGTCCGGGCAGGGGTCTTACAGTCCCTGTCATGGGGCTGCTTCCCCATCCCTCCCCTCCCCTTTGCTGGCCTACTTTTCAAGTGTCTTCTTGCCTTGAGGAGCCTTAATGGCATCAAGCGACAACATGTAACATTGTCCTTCCTGCCTCTCCAAAAGGATCTAGGAGAGTAGGTGAGCTTTCCCAAGTGAGAAACTTATAAATGGTCCTGTTTTTTTTAAAAAAAAGACTGGGCCAGGGGAAGTATGCTTTGGGCCGCCTTCTGCTGTGGCCTCTGAGGAAGGAGACTGGAGTAAGGCTAAGTGAGAGTGTACTGAAGCAGAACCAGAAACACTCAGGATCTGTTCAGAATCTCAGAAGAAATCTTCCTCTCTTGTAGGGAAAGATATAATTAGGGATCAAAGAGCTCTAAGAAAATTGCAAAGAAGCCTTAATGTTCATGCTTCAGAGAGATCAGAGCAATTTTCTTTTTCAGTCTGAGCTAGGCTCTTTCTGTATTTGGACCTCTTCTGAAGCAAGAGGGTTAGATTTCTTCACGTTGTAAGCTTGGCACCAGTGGGTCAGCTGCCTAGTGAGGGTGGGTTTCTTTTGCACATGTGTGGTTTGCTGTTGATCTGGTTTATYCTTCTCAAGCTGCCTTTGTCTCACTTGCTTTGGGTGGCCAAATCATCTTGATAAGAGCAGATGAGTTGGGGACTGGCTGGGTTGGCAGGAAAAGAGCAGGATGGATCTCTTGGGACGAGTTCCTCCCAGGAGTATAAAGGAGCCAGGATTGTGCTGGCAGCCAGGGAAACAGTAGTGCCTGTTCGAGTTGGCAGAGAGGGCCTTGGCACCACTCACATCCAGGCAGTCTTGTGAGATGGGAGCACATAGCACTGGGAAAAGAAGAACTCCATTCTCACCTCTATTTTGAGCTTCAGTGCTTTATTTCAGTATGAGGAAAAACAACAACAAACTGAAGTGCGCTTTCCGTCCTTTCAAAGGACAACTGTCGGGAAAGGAGAGCCGAGTTGCCAGGTGGGAGGGGAGAATTGGCAGGGAGAGACAATATGGCAAAACCAGTAAAGAGACTTTCTTGACAACTCTGTTTGGTGTGTCATGATCCAGGGAATGAAAAGAAATTTGACCCTGGGTTAGCTCCCTCCTTGGATTTAAAGAACATTACCTTTCCCTTCCATCAGTTTCTCCCAGGCTACCATCAGGTACCCATTCTGAGCTCATGACAGCCTCTTCAACCATAATTGGCCTAAGCTGTCTTGCCTGACCCTCCAAATTAGGCCTGGCTGCGCTCTTTGGTACCAAGTATTGGAGAAAATGTGTCAGTTCTTAGTAGCCCTTGTAGCTTCTACTCTGATTTTCCATCCTCTCCCTGCAGATGCCAAACCAACTCTTTGCCTGTAGCCACAGTATGTACTTAACAGCAGCAGCACAGTGAGATGTACTTGAGGGGCTTTGAACCTGGCTGGCCAGGGAAGCAGTAGGGGTAGATAGAGCTGTCTTTCCTTCTGGGCTGTCTCCATCTGTCCCTGCCCCTTCCGTGCCCCACCCCACTCCCACCAAAAAGTAAAAAATCAGGATGTTTTTTCACTGTCCATTGCTTTGTGTTTTAATAAACAATTTGCAGTGACACTCGGGGTTGAATTTGAGCTTTATTGCAAAGAAGCGATGTGATGGGAAAAAGGAGGCCTGGGGGCTTCACTAGCTGTGAAGACGTCTGTGGTGAGGCTGGGAGCTGTTGTCCGTGTAGTCAGGTATCTCTTGCYTTTCTTCTTTCTGGGATGTATGGTTAAAGAGAATGATATGTAAAACCTTGCCTGGTCATTTCAACCAGGAAAAATAAAAATTACTTTGTTCCTACTTCCACTGAAACACCAGCCAGCCCCATACCATCCCAATCCCATGGCATACCAGGCCCATAGCTGCCTCCTTTATTGTTCCCTTAGCCTCTGGATGAGCTAAGCCACGGGATACTTTTCTCTTCGTCCCCTTTTCTGGTGTGTTGGCAGTGTTTTAGTATACATCGGGAATGCAGAATGCAGGCAGGAAGAATTTTTTTCCCTGTAATTTATAAGCCACATTTTACAGAATATGAAGCCACATCTACAGAATATGAAGCTCAAAAAAGTTTAGTAATTTGCCCCAGGCTGGTCAGTAAACAATCAAGCCAGGGTTCAAAACTAGTCTATTTGCTATGAAAGCCCATGCTCATTCTAGGTTGTAAAAATAATTATAACTCTCCTGTAGTGAACCCTTGAAATGGGCCAGGCACAGTGCCGAACACTTTACAGACGTTACCTGTTTACTCTTCGTATCTGTCGACTCTTCTGCAAACCAGTTGATATTACTTTTTTAAGAGGTGAGTGACTTGCCCAGGGCTACACAGCCAGCAAAGGCAGAGCTGGAATTTTAAGTCAAGTCTCTTGCTCTTAATAATTACTCTGCACTGCTTCCCACTTCCTCAGGATGCTATGTGACATGGCTCTAGACCCTACTGGCTGGCTATATTTCAAGCTGGAACGAAGGCTGCTTATTTAGGATTGGGGGTGGGGTGGGAATGCTGGTCTACCTCCCTCAGTTATCCCTTGAAAGACAGAATTCATTGCTCGATCCAAGAATGATGGAGTCTTTCCAGGGCCTGAATAAGCCACAAGGCCCACAGAGTGTCTTTCTTAGGTTGAGTCCACCTATGTAGCTGGAGTTCTTTACTAATTAAGAGTTAAACTGTTGCTATTTCAGGTAGCTTTGCACAAGTTGCCAAATGGGGAAGAGACTTGAAGAAGCCCTGCTCTAGGGAGTTGCAGGGAGGGAAATTGTCTGACAGAAGATCCCTGGGCCAAGTGCTGGGGGTTGGGTTGGACCACTCCATGGGTCCAGATCTTAATCTTACTAAGGAAATCAGGCTCCCGGTTGGCTGGAGCCGGTGTGTTAGACCTTTCTCCAGATTTAATACCCCCACATCCCCCATGGAGGAAGAGAGTTGGGATTTTCCAACATTTACTGGAAAGCTTGCTGTAGCAGTGAGGGGTCGGAAAAGAGGGTGGAGCACGGAGGACCTAGAACTAGCAAGTTCAAGAGTCTTCGTTTTGTTTGTTCCTAACTACTTAACGTTAATAAAAAGTAACCCCACTTGCTTTTTGGCTCAGGCCTGATATTAAAGAGTTGATGTTCTGGGCTTCCTCACTGCTCCCACTTGAATCTCTGTTGCTTCCTCAAGTCGGTCCCCAACTTGCCTCCTCTCAGCCCTGACTTGATAGTACTCTCCCATCTAGCTCTGTGGTTTCTTCCTGCCCAGGGTGCCTGCAGAAGGGTCCTGGAAAAAGAGGTCACTTACAGATATTGCCATAGTGATTGTTCACTAGATACACTGGCCTCAGCATAGTACACAACAACCCTAGGAAAGGTGACGACTAGCCTGACTTAAAATGAGAAAACTGGCTCAGAGATCACCTGCCTAAAGTCACATAGCTGGTAAGTGGCCAAAGCAAGGACCAGAATCTGACCCTGTCTGACCCTCAAACCTGTATTCCTATGCCATGATTTTTAAAATTTTTTGTTTTTTGATACTGGGGATTGAACCCAGGGGTGCTTTACCTCTGGGCTACATGCCCAGCCCTTGTTATTTTTTATTTTGAGACAAGGTCTTGCTAAGTTGCTTAGGACCTCAGTTGCCGAGACTGACTTCCAACTTGAGATCTTCCTGCCTCGGCCTCCCCAGTTGCTAGATGAGAGGTATACACACCATGCCCAGCATGATATACTCTTTAAAAGGAACTTTCCAAGGCTCAGTGTAGATGTTGATAACCGATGAAGCGGTGGTTACATGGGGGTTTATTATATTTGTCTTCACAAAAAGAAAGTAACCTTTTAAGACTTAGTGATACAAAACTATATACAATAATAATATATTTGTAATATGTACATAAATATTTTTTAAAAATTATATGGGGTATAAATTGTGAAAATCCTTTTTATCTTTACCCCTCTAGTCCTTACGAAGATAATGCAGGTGATATGTATCTCATTTTCTACGTATTTACATATACATGTACATATAGTGTTTTTAAACAAACGGGATTATGCTATACATAACCATAAGACTTAATATGTCTTAGAGAATTTATACATATAGATAGGTTGGTACATAGAGATTATCTTTAAAGGACTGCACAGTATTTTATGGTTAGATTGTAATTTACGTTACCATTTCCCTATTGTTGAACATTAAAAGAGTGCTCATTTTTTTGTTAGTACAAATTGCTGTGGTGAACATCTCATACTTGCATCTTTGTGCACATGTGTAAGTGTTTCTTTAGAATTCCTTAAAGGAATTACTAGGTCAAACAATACATGCATTTAAAAATTTGAAAGTATTCCACTTAACAAGGCTATATGAATTTTTATTCCCCAATATTTTACTATACGACTTTGGAATATGCTAGAAATCTTTTCTCGGAACAGGTGGGATATAAATAATAAATTAGTGCCCTTTCTAAAGGGTTTTTTTTTGTGTGTGTGTGGGTGTGGGTGTGTGAGTGATACTGGCCTTGCACATGCTAGGCAAGTGTTCTAGTATATCTCCAGCCTTTTTTTTTCTTTTTTTTTTTTTGGAACCAGAGATTGAACTCAGGGGCACTTAACCACTGAACCACATCTCTAGCCCCCTTTTTTGGTATTTTATTTAGAGACAGGGTCTCACTAAATTGCTGGGGCTGACTTTGAACTCCCAGTCCTCCTCTCTCAGCCTCCCAAGCCACTGGGATTATAGGCATGTACCACCGCACCCAGCTTTTAAATTGTATTTTGAGATAGGCTCTTGCTAAGGTGCCCAGGCTGGCCTCAAACTTTCGAATTCCTGTCTCAGCCCTCTGAGTAGCTGGAACCATAGGTATAGTTGCCAAATTAGTGCTTTTTAAAAAACAGTCCTTATCCAGGGAGTGAAGTGACTTGGGTATTGGGGAAATTACTAGCTTTCAGTCCCAGACCACAAGGTGTGCCTACTATCCCAGCCATGACTTGCTGATTTGATACATGCCACCTTTAGGGAGGCAGCAGAAAGGATTTCACTTCTCAGTCTCCAAAGAGAAAAGCCCTCTGATGTCTTGCTTACCTTGGCTGCACCATCTCTGGCCCCACCTGCATGGCCCGATTCGAGGCAGACTGCCTAGCTACCCTGGGACTGTCCTGGAAAATAGYCACTGTCACACCTTTTACGGTGGCTGGAGGGACTCAGACAGAGGACCAATCTGGGGTGAAAGGGAGGCCAGCCTACCACTTCAGGTTTCCTGTGTCCAGCCCTGGAAAACCTTGGTGTTACTATTTAATGCAGTAATCTTCTATTTTCCTTTTTTCCCCAGACTGTTGGTATATGTAATTAAAAAAAAAAAAATTTAAAGAGTATTTTTGTAGTGCTGGAGAACTGAACCAGGGGCACTGTACCACTGAACTACATCCCTATCCTTTTTTATTTCAGACAGTCTTGCTAAGTTGCCCAGGCTGGCCTCCAACTTGCCATCCTCCTGCTTCAGCCTCCCTGTCAGCTAGAATTATAGGTGTGCACTACYACACACGGCTAAATAGAGCCTTTTTACATATCTTAGGAAGATTTGGTGAAGAAAGGTAAATTAAGCAATAACAGCTCTAATTTTTCCTACCCCTTTAAAAAGTGAAATTTTTTTCTTTTGTGTGTGTTGTGTGTTTTTTAGCCTTTTGATCTTTTATTACTCAAAGAAGCTTCATTTTTAAAATTTCACTTTCTGACTTTGCTGTGCCTTCAACACTTCACAATAATTTTCTGCTCYTCAATAACGAAGACACACTTGTCACCAACACATGTAGCACACATGGAACCACCATAGGCCCTGCTGATACGGTTTTGTTTTAGAAAATTTTATCWGAACTTTAGGYCTCACAGCACAAACCCCTTGAAGTCTGCCTGGATACACATCATATGCAGATTTTAATGCTTTCCCAACCTTCTTGGTATGAAGGTTAACAATTACCAGGGACTCAGGACAGACTATTTTGTTAGAGATTATATTGTCTGTCAATTACTAGACCATCTCTGAATGATCTTGCATTCCTGAGAGCTTCCTGCATTCAACTCCTTGGATGGCAGCCAATTTTACCTTTTTTTTTTTTTTTTGGTATGCTTTCTATTCTAAATACATACTCTAATCCTTCTAATCATACTTCATAGTCACCAGAGAGAGTATAGGCCTCAACTCCCTCATATGACAGTATTTCATTTTTTGGTTTTTTTTTTTTCAGTTGAAGTTTTTTTCCCCCCCTTCCCTTCCTGCAGTGCTGGTGATCAAACCCAGGATCGCCTTGTATATGCTGTGCAAGCACTCTATCTCTGAGCTACACCCCCAGCCTTGAGGTTGCCTTTAAATTTTAAGAGAAAATAAATCTACTTTGACGTAAAGTCTGCCTTCTAGATACAGAACCTAAGATACTTTCTCATTTTTAAGAACTACACAAGCAGCCCATGAGCATATGCTTGTGATAAAAAAAGTACAGAAGTAGCTCTAAATAGTGTAAAAAGGAAATATATTCTCTTTAGTTCCTTCCAGTACTCTCCTCCCTAAAGGTAATCAAAGTTGACATTTTAATGTATATCCAGACCTCTTCCTTTACAATTACAAATACATTTACATATTCATATGCTTTTTATTTTAAATGAATAGATTCTGTGCCTTGCTTTTCTCTCAGTATCTCTGAGATCTTCCCATCAGTCTCATTCTTTTTAACAGCTGTATAACATAGACTCCACTGTAATTTGTCAATGTAACAAATAATCCTGCAGTAAACATCTTTTGTATACACTTAGGCAAAATTCCTGGATTGGACTTGTAGGTGAAGGACTTAGTACTTTTGTCATGATCCCTAGAAAGAAAAAAACTGGGATCCAGGTAAYTGTCGTTTTGGTGCTCTGAAATAAATGTGAGCTTGTGCATGCTAAACCACCCTCTTGGCAATTCACAATCAAATAGCATATTAAAAGTTCTGGAAACTCTTCAGTAGACACTCACTGTTGAGTGGTTTAAAAAGAGTTATTTACAAAAGGAAAGGTTTTAATTTCTCTTATATATTTATTAAAATCTAGAAGGGTTTGGTAAGTGTCACCTGATGCTAATTTCTCAAAAGTTAGGAAGTTGGCCACATACTGTCTCACTCAACTGGGCAGCTGGGGAGGGGGGGGTCAGGTTTGGACTTTGTCCAGGAACTAGGTGAGTCCTGGCAGCCCCTCCCAAGCCCCTTACATCAAGTGAGAGGGACCCAGCAACTCCCGGTGTAAGTCAGGTCTAGAAGCCAGTCATTGGCAGAGGATTGGGATTTCACTCTGGCCCAAGTTTGGCTAGTAGACACTTCACATGAGTCAAGTCCAGGCCTCCTGTACATCCAGAGTTTTGAGAGAAGGAACCACGTGGGGTATAAGAAGGCAGCCTCTCTCCTACCCACTTCCTCCACTAATGAAATAGTGGTTAACTGCCTAGGCTCAGAAATGTCACCTCTGTGAGGCCTTTCCCTGACACCCACCTCCACCCCCGCCCTCCTAACCCAACAGAATAAACCACTTCTGGGTGCTCTGGTATCACTTTTGTTGTACCTGTTACAGCCGRTGCCAGGCAGTTATCTTCTAGTTCCGAGTTTCCCCGCCTGTCAGAGGAAGTATGCCACAGTCTTTCTTGACAAAGTGGGGACTCCTTCATGGACAGTGTTGTGAGACACTCTTCAGGCTTTCACTCATTTATTCAATYGTTGTGCACCTACCATGTGTCAGGCATTTGCTTAATTGCCAAGAATACAATGATAAGGCATATCCACTCCCTCCCTCATCTTTATAGTTCCTGCAGTCTCGCTCAAGGTCAGGCACAGCAGGGATTGGCATGGCAATCTAGTTAGAAAGCTTGTCTTGAAGCTGCCTCTTTGCACAGCAAATGCCATTTTAACTTACACTCAATACTAAAAACATTAACATTTTCTCAAGATGCTTTATCTACAGTTTCTAAGAAATTCACTTGTAATATATATGAGTATACATATATACAAAAATTATATATACACATATATATACACACACATATATATAAAACATCTGGGATGACTTTGGGGACCTGAAAGAGTGTGTGGGAGTTCTAAGGCCCCACCCACCGCCGGACAGGACCAAAGTTGGAGAGTCCTCACTGCTCCTCGCAGACCCCGCCTCCAGGGCCCCACCCCCARGTGCCGCCTGGCCCCGCCCCCGCTCTCCATAGTTACGGCGCTGTGGAGGCGGCGGCCATCTTGGCTGTGGAGCGATGAACGGGTCGAACCCCAAGGCTATGGCCGCGGGGTCGGCTGCGGGGCCCGGGGGGCTGGTGGCTGGCAAGGAGGAGAAGAAGAAAGCGGGCGGTGGCGTCCTGAACCGGCTCAAAGCGCGGCGGCAGGCGGCCCCCCACGCGGCCGACGACGGCATCGGGGCAGCGGTCACGGAGCAGGAGCTGCTGGCCCTGGACACCATCCGCCCTGAGCACGTCTTGCGCCTCAGCCGGGTCACTGAAAGTGAGTGTCGCGAGGGCCGCGCCCTCCCCGCGCGACGGGCCCCCGGCGGGTTGGTCCTCTTGGCCCGCGCGGGGGTCCGCCCAGGCCCGGACAGCCATGCAGGCCGCGCTCACCTAGACCTGGTGGAGAAGGGCTCTCCTTGAGCTTCCACCGCGTCTGGCCGAGTCCAACGCCACCAGGCTGCCCCCTGGGTTGTCCTGGTTGAGGAAGGGTCTTCGTTCAGCTATCCGCTCCTTCTCAGCTGCTCCTCCTTATCCGACCCGGGCGGAGGTGCGGAGGTCCCCTTTGCCTGGAACCCCGCCGCATCAGCGAAATTCCCGCCCCCCCCCCCCCCCCCGCCCCCAGCTTCCGCAGTCCTCTGCCAGGCCAGAGCCCCTACCTGCTTTCTCCTCCTGTCCCTCTTCTCCGGCCCCCTGACAGCCCTTCCCCCATTCCAGCCTGTCGTGGCCCCCCCTTCTCCTCTAGGTCCCAAGCGTTCCCCTTTGTGTGCAGGTGGGCTTTTYCTTGGCATTTCATATAAATTTAAAAACTGCCACAGAAAAATTAAGTTTCAATATATGTGCAGATTCCTATATGTGAATCTTACTCCTTTTTAAAAACAAAATTATTTTTTTTAGTTGTAATTGGACACAATACCTTTATTTATTTTTTATGTGGTGCTGAGGCTCGAACCCAGGGTCTCGCACATGCAAGGAGATCACTCTGTCGCTGAGCCACAACTCCAGCCCCGTTAATCTTAATCTTGATATTTTTTTTCCAGTGAATTAAGAATTGTCAAGATTTCAGAATGTAAAATTTTTTTTTTTGCATAAGGTATTTTCATTTATATAAGAAAGAGTAGGAAGAAATAGAATTGTCCCTCTCTCCCTCCATCTCTTGTCAAGCCAAGCTATGACTTGACACCTTTTCCCTTGCTGTTGTTTCCCCCAGGAGTTTACAGTCACCAGGTTAGGCCTCATTTGCCCTGTCCACCGCCAGGACACCCCCCACACAGCAGCAGACTTGTATCCTTGCTGCCAGGAAGGATGCCCTGGTAGTCAGTGAATTGCTGTGGTCAGCTCAGGGCTGCTCAGGAGTACCTCAGGTTGCTACTGGAGCTCCAGTGTTTTGGGAATGGGAGTTTGGAGAAGGTGGTCTTGATCCCCTATGAAAGGAAATCCTTGACTCCCTAAATAGTTTTAACTTGGGTATTTTGATGTCCCCATTTTCTATCACAATTGGAGTTGGAACTGTCCTTTACATGCCTCTACAGTATGGCTGTTTGGTTTCATTGAAACAATGAAAAAGCTGCTTTTGTTCTAAGTCTTCATTTGAGGCTTTAAAAGTACAGAAATCCTCAGCACCTGATCACTTTAACCTCACATTTGCTCCTGACACCAAAGGTGACTTTGGTCATTCTAATGCCTGGCCCTAAGCAGTATTCACTGGGCACACAGGTCCCATTTGGGGGCTTGGGAATTTTGGTGTCATTGCCCAAAAACCTGTGTCTACTGCTCCTTGGAGAAAGTCACAGGTCAGAGCTTGGTGACCTCTGAATTCTGCTCCTCTTCTTAGAGTCTCATCTGTTCTGTCTTGCAAGTTATTTATTGAGTACCCCCTAAAAGTACAGAACCAATGTCAGCCTGTTTGGGAGTTGAGAATCATCAGTGGCTCTCAAGTTTGCATTCTACTAGAGACAGCTTATTAAATGTGAAACAATAACAAGCAATCTACAATAAAGTCGTAATGAGTTGAAATGAGTCGCAGAGAAGATGCTATTAGGAGTTGTAGAAACAAATCAATGAAATTTTCTATGACCAAAACTCTTGGTTAAATCCTCAGGTCATTGTAGGCTATGCTTCACTTTGACTAATGCTGTCATTGCCAAATTTATCCTACTCTGTTGTATGTATAGCCTACTGTGTGATGTTGTGTAGTCTACGAATTGAGAACAATTTTTACGTTTTTAAAGTGGTTGAAATATATTTTAAAAATATAGTGACATAAACTTATTATATAAAATTTGTCAGTATTCATAGGTACAGTTTTAATAGATGCATACTCCTTCATTTGCTTATTGTCCATGGATGTTTTTGTACAGAGTTGAGTAGTTATGGCAGAGTCCATGTGAACATAAACCCTAAATTATTTATAATGTGTCCTTTTACAGGAAAGTTTACTGATCCCTGCCTTCTCACACTCATGGTTGGCAAACATGCATTGTATTGTCTGTTAAAGCAGTATAAATATTGTCAAATTTTTTTCTAAAAATGGTTTCTAAAAAAATRTTTTCTAATGTTGTGGTATTATCCCTGTTCCTAGAAGTTTCATCCAAACTGAGTCCTGCTCTTTTTTTATTGGGTCTCCTGATTCTGTCCATACAACTTTTGCTTATGATAATACAAGAGGATGTTTGGGRAAGTATTTTAAGTAAATTACATAGGAAAAAATCCCTGAGTTTAAGCTAAGCACAATGGTGTACGCCTGTAATCCCAGTGGCTGGGGAGACTGAGGCAGGAGGATCTGGAGTTCAAAGCCAGCCTTAGCAAAGGCAAGTTGCTAAGCAACTCAATGAGACCCTGTCTCTAAATAAAATACAATATARGGCTGGAAATAGGCTCAGTGGTCACGCCCCTGAGTGCCCCTGAGTTCAATCCCTGTACAAAAAAAAAAAAAATCCCTGGTTTGCTTCAAAACATGAGAAATAAGTGGTAGTTTTGGATGATTATTTAATAGCATTGGTCTCTTTCTCATTTTTTAGATTACTTGTGTAAACCTGAAGACAACATCTACAGTATTGATTTCACCCGCTTCAAAATTCGAGATTTGGAGACGGGGACAGTGCTTTTTGAAATTGCCAAACCTTGCATTTCAGGTAGGCTTCAAAATTGTAGGGATCCCTTGACAGTTTGAAGAAAAGTTTGAAACAGAAGTTTGAACAGAAATTTGAAAAGTTGAATATTTGTGTGCCTTTGCTTCCTGTGTCTTGGACTCCAGTGTTCCACTTTTGGAACCTCTTCAGGCATGTCAGTTGAAGCTGCATTATTGATGTCTGAGTATCAACTCTTGGTCACTGCCACATTTTTCTGTACATCACCTTATCTAGTCCTCACGCCTSTATGAGGAGTTCTTACTATCCCTATTTTACAGAAAAGGATCTGAGACCCAGAATTTTCTGGGACACTTTACTAAGGTCCTGTACTCTTTTATTATATCACTTCTGATTAGGAAAGAAATCCTTGAAATCAAACTCTAATGAGGAAAATTCATTGAACCTTGAGGCCCCTTGAAGGAGGATACTGAGGATTCCAGTCTAGACCACAAGGCAGTTTCACCTCAGTCTTCTCATTTGTCTTTATAAATAGTACCTTTCATTTCTCAGGAATTTCTCATTTGGATTTTTTTTCCCCTTTTCTTTTTGGTGCTGATGCTAGGAATCAAAACCTTGCATCACACACACTTTGCAAGTACTTTACTGCTGAGGTATTCCCCCAGCCCTTGGATTTGTATGTATGTGTGATTTTGGGGATCGAACCTGGTGCTCTACAACTGAGCTACACCACTAACTCTTTTTTTATTTTTATTTTGAGACAGGAATTTGCTAAGTTGCTGAGGCTTGCCTTGAATTTGTGATTCTTCTGCTTCAGCCTCCCAAGTGGCTGGGATTACAGACTTATACTACTATGCTCAAGATATATATAAAACCAGGGATTGAACTCGGGTGCTTAACACTGAGACACACCCCAGCCTTCAAAAAAATTTTTAAATTTTGAGACAGGGTCTCACTGAGAGGACCTCACTAAGTTGCTGAGGCTGGCCTTGAACTTGTGATCCTTCTGCTTCAGCCTCCTGAGTAGCTGGGATTTCAGGGATTTGCTACCATACCCGGCGAGACTTTTTTTAAACACAAGTTTATTCTTAAATTTACAACAAGTTCTAAGATAACACTTCATCCTAGCAATAGGTGGCAAAAGATGTTATGGAAGAGAATCCAGATGTTTAAATAGGAAGAAACCAAGGGTCATCACCTCAGGCACAAGGAACAGCTTACTTTTGCTGTATTTCTTCATTCTATCCGTGGCCAGAGGCTCCTGCTTTTAGCTGCTTGAGTTTCCTCTGCTCCTCTTTTTATTTCTTTTTGAAGGCCTTGTTTTTCTCATCTCTGTCTGCATTCCACCTTCATAGACAGATGTAGCACCTGCCACTTCTCCCCCATATCCTGGCATTGGCAATCTTTGTTTGGGTTTTAATCTTCATCATTTTTTGAAAGAACAGACCCATGAACTCATCCACTTGAGATTCTTTAAATTAGGCTTCAATAAACCTTTCCTGTGCTTGTGATGCAGTTCTAAGGTGATTCATTTCTGGTCAGGGGACCACATAAGCCTTCAGAGCACATTACTGGAGATTTAGCGCCCTCTGGAGTTTGTTGTTTATTAGAACATGGTCACACATACTATATAGTATCAACCATGATCTGTAATTATAACTTGTTTTGCAAGGTTTTTCTCATTTGATTGATTTGCTAGTTGAAAGAAACTTCGAACTTAGTGAGGCAAATATTAGTATCACAGAGTCAAGAGACTTTCCTGGGCTGACTTTCCAGTCACCTTATCTCATGATAGAGTGTTTGCCAAGTATAGAGGAGGCCCTAGGTTTGATCCCCAGCACAGGGAAAAAAAAATAAGATTTTCCTAAGAAAGTCTCAGCTTGGATTAGTTACAAAGCCACAAGTTTGAGGCCAGCCTGAGAAACTTAAAGAGATCTTGATTCAAGATAAAGTAAAAAGGACTGGGGATTTAGATCAATGGTAGAGCATTCCTGGTTCAATCCCCAGTAACAACAACAACAAAAACTGATCAGTGGTAGTCACTGTTAATTGCATTTATTCTCCAGTATGGTTAAAGAGGGCTGGGGATGTGGCTCAGTAGCAGAGTGCTTGCCTAGCATATATGAGGACTTTGGTTCCATCCACAGTATCACAAAAAAAAAAAAACAAAAACAAAAAAAAACTGTAGCCCAATGGACAAATCCAGTCAGTATGTTTAAAGAAGTCTGGACAATTGTCTGAATGAATGGAAGGTGTAAATTTAGATCCCCAAGGTAGGCACACTTCTGGCTAGTTCCCTTGCAAATCTTTTTTTTTTTTTTTTTTTAATATTTATTTTTTTAGTTTTTGGCGGACACAACATCTTTGTTGGTATGTGGTGCTGAGGATCGAACCCGGGCTGCACGCATGCCAGGCGAGCGCGCTACCGCTTGAGCCACATCCCCAGCCCAGCCACATCCCCAGCCCTCCCTTGCAAATTGAACCCTGGCTCACTCCTATCAGAATCTAATGCTGACCAGGGCAACTGAAAGTTCAAACTTGTAAATTCTATCTTCCTGGGTCTGTGGTGTTGTCATCCCTAAGGCTCATGTCCCAATACTTAGGACATTTCAGGAATCCCAGGATTATTGCAGGTGTGTGGATCTGGATTAGATGGGGCTCAGAGTAGTCATTTCCATACAAAACTCAAATTTTCTCAAAAAGGTAAATTGCAGCCGGGCGCACACCTATAATCCCAGCAGCTGGGAGGCTGAGACAGGAGAAGTGTGAGTGCAAAGCCAGCATCAGCAACAGCAAGGTGCTAAGCAACTCTGTAAGACCCTGTCTCTAAATAAAATACAAAATAGGGCTGGGGATGTGACTCAGTGGTCTAGCGTCCCTGAGTTCAATCCTTGGTACCAAAAAAAAAAAAAGATGAATTGCAAAGTATCTGGATTTCCAACCTCCCTAGTCTTTACATTTAAGAATCTTGATTCACTTAGAATATCCTCATACTGAATCAGGGCTTTCCTGTAACACTTGTTCTGATGAATTTGAATCCCTGAGATTTGGCTTGACTCTTTGAATCATATAAGAACAGCCAGGGTTCTTACCCTAGACAYGAACTCCTGCTCAGCCTGGTTGCTCAGTGCTCTCGGGATGTCAGAGATATTTGATGCTAAAAGAACCCAAGGTCAATGTAGACTGGAGAAAATATCCTTACTGGACACTGGAGGCACTAACTCCTTATTCTCCAATTTGTTTTACAAATCTTCTCTTCAGGAATGTACTAGGCCAGAGACCAGCATTAACTTTGTGAGGTCTCACACATTGGTTCATTGCCCATATGCTTCACCCTTTCCTAGGTGGTCAGAGGGTTGGGTCTGGAATGGCCTGGAGTAGACATCAGTCCAAGGAAGTGCAGTACCTCAAGGCTGTAGGTCAGTGTCTTCCATTCAAATAACAATTATTTGTAGTGGTTTGTCTTTGCTGCCTGTCAGAAATGTTTGTATTGTTTAAAGGAAATCTAATCTATTTTCATCTTTTGCAGTATTATCCTTTTGGTTAGTAACTAGAAGTTTAACTTGGTCAACAGCAGACCTGGGTGCATAATATAGCCTGTATCAGGGGCCTAGTACCCAGCCTGTGTTTACTCTCAGGATATGGCTCAAGCCTCTAAATTAAACACAAAGAGCTTAGTATTTAAGAATAGTCATATGGACCTGGAATCAAATCCCTGCTCCCTCTGTTTAMTATTTGGGGACTTTGAAATATTCCTTATTCTCTCTTAACTTGAGCTTCCTTGTGTGAAATGGAAACAGTAGCACCTTAGAGAGCTGCTGTGAAGAGTTTGAAGTGTCACTGTAGGACTCAGCTTTCAGCAAGTGTGCAGTCAGTGTTAGTGTGTTAGCTGGTTGTTGTGCTTTGTGGGCTTGTGGGGCCCAGGGAGTGCACTCAAGATTCTGTGTGTTCTTTCAGACCAGGAGGAAGATGAGGAGGAGGAAGGCGGAGATGTGGACATCACTGCAGGACGCTTTGTGCGATATCAGTTCACACCAGCATTTCTCCGCCTCCGGACAGTCGGCGCCACGTGAGTACCGTTGTTTCCTGAAGGAAGAACATTCTGCTAATCCCAGGGAAGAATGTTCTTGGCTCCCTTCTTTAGAGGAGGGAGGAGGCAAAGTGAGACTCACAGAGATTTATTTTGCAGGGTGGAGTTCACAGTGGGAGACAAACCTGTGTCAAACTTCCGTATGATAGAACGGCACTATTTCCGAGAACGCTTACTGAAGAACTTTGACTTTGATTTTGGCTTCTGCATTCCCAGCAGTAGGAACACTTGTGAACATATCTATGAATTTCCCCAGCTTTCAGAGGACGTCAGTAAGTATTCCCTGACTCTTAAAGCATTTGGATTATAAGGGCTGCAAGAAATGAACCTTGAAAACCCCATCTGGTCCAGTAGACTTGTTTTGTAGTGAAGGGCAGTGGTGACATGATGTATGTAAACCTGATCTCAGGTTTCTAATTTCCTACTGCTCCTGTCTTTTGTGTCAAATTCTGACTCTGCTTGTGGAGCAACAAAGGTTGTAATACTATAGGCCATCCTTTTTAGGCCTGTGTGGGAAAGAGAGTGACTAAGGATCACTAAGGTGCCCATCACTGGGACTCCAATTAGATACAACAACTTTCCTCTTCACTATTGGTTATGGCTTCCATGGTGTCCTAGTCATTGATCCTTTACTTTTTCTGTAATCAGAGCCAGATGTGAAACTGCAGGCTAAAGAGAATCAAAGGCTTGAGGACACTTCTTTCTTATTCTCCAAAATTTGAGGGTTGATAAAGAAACTGTTAGAATAGACCCAGTGGGAGCCAGGGAGGTTTTTGAGCAAAAGAAGGGCGATGATAAAAGCATGTTTTAGGAAAAAGAGTCCTGCAGTTACATGAAGGAGGAACTGGGGAAGGTACCAGAGGGAGCTGCTTATATATCCCAGGCAAGGGAAGATATGAACTGAACTAGAGGTAAAGAATTGGCTCTGTCAGCATCTAACACTTAGGTTTAGCTATCTCTGATTAGCATCCTTGGCTAGTCATTCAGAAAAATAGCTTTAGAACATATAAGTGGGCTGGGCATGGTGGCACACCTCTGTAATCCCAATTACTGGGGAGGCTAAGGCAGGAGGATCACAAGTTCAAGGCCCACCTAGGAAACTTAGTGAGACTTGTCTCTAGATAAAAAATGAAAAAGGAATGACGATGTAGCACAGTAGTAGAGCACCTCTGGGTTAGGTCCCCAGTACTAGACAGACTGACAGACACACAAAATTATGTGGATGTAAGTGGAATCCTGTGAATAGTGATGGCCTTTGACCTTTAGTTACATTGTGGGGAAGGATCCACATACACTGACTAGTTTTMTCAGAACCACAAGTCCTTAAAGATTTCATATTCTGAAAACCAGGTACTTTTACTCATGTGATGATACTGTTCCTAGGTAAAATAAGGATTGCTGAGATGTGGGAAGGCTGTTTATAATAGCATCTAGTTCTTCCTGAGTCTCTTTCCCCAAGCTGGGCTGGAGTATGTCCATACTAGGAAGAAGAGAGTATAGATAGAATTAAAAGTTTTACCTGTGAAGCCAAATAAGCCACAAGAGTTTAGAAGTCAGTAATATGAGTGTAGCTAGGTGTGGTTGTGCATGTCTGTAATCCCAGTGACTCGGGAGCCTCAGACAGGAGGATCACAAGTTCAAGGCCAGCCTCAGCAAATTAGCAAGGCCCTAAGCAACTTAGTGAGACCCTGTCTTCAAAATAAAAAAAGGACTGGGGGTATAGCTTAGTGGTAAAGCACCCCTGTGTTAAATCCCTAGAATAATAATAGTAAGTATGTAAACCAGATACCTTTGGCCTAGATAAGTTCATAGAACTTTAAAGAATCAGTGTCACACACAACAAAAATTAGTGTCACCTTTTGAAAATTGTGGTGAGCAATCATATTTCTTCCAGAGGACTCAAGGTGGCATGTAATCTCTAATTCAAAACCGATCAGCCTTGTGCCGGGGTTGTGATTCAGTGGTAGAGCACTTGCTAGCATGAATGATGCACTAGGTTTGATTCTGCACTGCATATAAATAAATAAAATAAAAGTCCATTGACAACTTAAAAAAAAAAAAAAAACTGATCAGCCTTGGTGTGCACAGTGGTGCAATGCCTATGACCCCAGCAACTCAGGAGAGTGAGGCATGAKGATCACAAGTTCAAGGTTGGCCTCAGCAATTTAGCAAGGCCCTAAGCAACTCAATGAGACCCTGTCTCTAAATAAATACAAAACAGGGCTGGAGAAGTGGCTCAATGGTCAAGTGCTCCTGAGTTCAATCCCCAATCCCTACCCCACCCCGCAAAAAAGAGAAAAGGTCTTGGGATATAGCTCAGTGGCAAAGTGCTTCTGGGTTCAGTTCACTAAAACAAACAAAAAATGGATCAGCCTTGCATGGTGGCACATACTTGTAATCCCAAGTACTTGGGAAGCTGAGAGAGGAGGATCATAAGTTTGAGGCCAAGTCTGGGAAATTTAAAGAGACCTTGTTTCAAAATAAAATAAAAAAGACTGGGAATTTAAATCAGTGGTAGAACATTTCTGGTTCAATCYCCAGTAACAAAACCCTCCCCCACAAACCATAAAACTGATCAGTGATAGTCATTGTCWATTGCATTTATTCTCCAGTATGGTAAAAGAGGGCTAGGGATATGGCTCAGTGGTAGAGTGCTTGCCTAGCCTGCGTGTGGCCCTCKGTTCGATCCCTAGTACCACACAAACAAAACAAAGTAGCCCAATGGTCAAATCCAGTCAGTATGGTTGAAGAGGTCTGGACAATTGTCTGAACAAGTGGAAGGTGTAAATTTAGATCCCAAGGCAGGCACACCTCTGGCTAGTTCACTTGTAAGTTGATTCCTTCGCTGTCTCTGAGGAAGGCTGACACTCATTCACATACAAGCTTCCTTTAGTTGTCAGGAGTACCCATAGGAAGTGAGCGCAGTGAGGCATGGCTTTCTGGATTTGCCCCATAATGTCTAGAGGTGGGCAGCAGACCAGAAGCCAGGGCTTGCTTGGGTCAGCAGAAAGCACTGGATAAATAAGTAGCTGTGGTCTTTTGGCAAGAGGGTAAGTACGTTTCCCAGGGCACTAACTGGAAGAATCCAGGCTGGGGATAACTGAGGAGTTGACTGTTTCTTTATGTTAAAGTAGAAATAACATTCAATTTGGGGACTCTCTGGTCTCCCCAGCTCCAAGAACTGGCTCCCTCTGTTCTGACCGTATTATTCTCAAAGTATACTCACATTTTCTAGAAGTGTTGGCTTGTGGATTTGGGGGGGATACTGAGTTTTGGTGCTTAACTGTGGGGCAAGCTCACATCTGCTTTTTTCCTTTCCCCCCTGACTTGCAGTTCGTCTGATGATTGAAAACCCGTATGAGACCCGCTCCGACAGTTTCTACTTTGTGGACAACAAGCTGATAATGCACAACAAGGCTGATTATGCCTATAATGGAGGCCAGTAATTGCTAAGGAGTGGACAAGGAAGGTGCTTTTACTGCAGCCATGTAGTCCTGGCACACAGAGGGGATTGAGGCTGCTCTTTGTCAACACAGCTGGAACCTGGCCCAGGAAGCCAAGGTTGGGGTAGCAGTTTCCTGTGCTCCAGGGAAGTGCCAAACAGTGCTGTGTTTTCTTCCCTAATTTTTTTTTTCCCTTCCCCCCTTCCCTCTAGGTCACAGAGGTATTATAGTAAAGTAAGATTAGAATAGGGCTCTTGGAATCCAGATAAAAAAGGAAGTTTATTTTCATGTAATTCTAGCTGTCTGCTGCTTGTCCTGACAACCTCAGTCTCTCCAGGCACATGTGAGTGGGTGAGAAGGCTCTGGCTGGGCCGGCCTGTGGGTTAGCAGTCCATCTTGAGGTCCCTGGGTGCTGCGGGTAGCTGAAAGGTAGGCTTCTTCTGTTCACTTCAGGCCATCAACACAGCCTGCCCTCACCCGTCGTCTAAATCAGCTGGAAGAAACCTGAAAGGCAATAGAGGGGAGAGGTGGGGTGCTGAGCACTGGGGCACTGGGGACAGGAGATGCTGCCAAACTGAAGGATCCATTTTTTGGAGAGGCCTGCTTGTCTGTCCGACTACAGGATTTTCAGCCAGTCCTCCTGGAGATGGACCAAGGTTTCGGCCCAGCAGTGCCTTCTCCTTCTGGGATAGATGAGCTTGCTCTGCCTCTCCTGGCTCCTCACTCTGAATATCTCCTGGAGTAAAATGTGTCTGTTTTGCTCCTGGAGCATAGTATCTCGAGGCCAGAGCAGGCCTCCTTTTATTTTGATTTTTTTATTTTTACACTTTGGGGAAGTTTTTACAAAATGTCGGTGGTATTCCCAGCACATGTGATGTGTGGTTAGACTTCTGATAGTATTGATCAGCCTCCCGGGGCTAATCTGGCTCATGTAGCAGGAGGTAATTACAAACCAGCAGCTACTTTAAAGAGAGAGTTGGTTTTCTCAACACAGTGTAGCCGGGAAGGTTTGCTTTGGGTGGGGATTTGCCTCCAAAATTCATTGTGGATTTCTTATTTAGGGTTTTCCCAGCTGCCTTTCTAATGAAGTAGTTTCTGGGACCATCTGGCAAGTCAGACTTAAGTAATGAGTATTCTGATCCTTCAGGCTGCTAGTTGGAATTGTTTGGGGTATTTGGAAAGGGTGAGAAWAGGCCAAGGTAGCCTGTCAAAGTGATATGTTCTCAAAATAGCTTCCTTGCACTTCCTGTGGGCTGCTTGTGTCCTCAGACCCTCATTGGACAGACCCCCACTTCCTTAGCTCCTTATGGTTGTCTCTGTGGGTGACTTTAGGTGCTCAACTCAGACTCCATGACCCTCTGCTGTGGGTAGGGTCCATTTAGTATTGATAGAAGGTATCAATAGCAAGGGACCAGGTGGGGTGAGTCACTGTGAGACATCGAAGTGAGTACCTGTGATAGGAACTGTGTCCCACAGTGATTAGGAAAAAACCACATGGGGCCAGGAAAAGAAGGGCCAGCTCTTTGCCCCAGAAGGCCCTGTGGCCAGTTTTGCTCCCTGTTGGGCTTCTAGAGCATGAGAGGCCTTGAACCCTGGCCCAGTGCTTAGTACCTGGCTGAAGAATCAGCGATACCACATACTGGCAGCTTTCTCACTGAGGAGGCCCTTGAGTACCCTGTGTGCTGGCACTGGATTCACCCACTGAGGGAGGGAAGAGATCTTGCGCCCTGCAGCATGGGTGCCTCTTCACCAGATTGGTGAAACTCAGAACTGGAGTCACTTCCAAATCCAGGTGCCTTAAGTGTGGCTGTGTCCCATATGCTGCTGGGGAAAGCTGCATCGCCACCATTCCCTCCTCTTCACCTGCGGACAGACATCAGCACTGTCTTAACCTTCTCTTTCTATTTGTGGTTCCTCTAACGGGATTTGTGTGTTCCTGGCAAGCTTCCGAACACTCCCTTCTCTGTGTAACAAAAGCCCAATTGGGAGAGTTTCTGCCACCCGAAATTTAAATATTGACTAGGATATGCTTTCTGGAGCTGCCCAGAGCTCTGCTGAACAGAGTGTATCTTAAAAGATGTGTCCCAGGGCAGACTCTCTCCTGTGCTCTAAGGGGCTCTCTTACCTGCCCTGTTAGCTTTTGCTAGGAAGAGTACCTRGAGGATGGAGAAGACGGGCACCCTGGCTTGAGTAGTGCTGTATCCCCTTCCCTTTTAGCTTGCCTTAGTCTCACTGGAGACCATTTTGAGACCAAGTGCTCACCTGTGCCCAGCAGGACAGGAATTTGCCATCTTCTCCTGAAAGCCCAGAGTTCTGTCTGGGGCTCTCAGGAGTCCTGTGTCTAGCTGCTCAGGAAATCTCAAGAAGCATTACCACTCTGGGTGTTAACTGAAATGAATTACAAATTTAAACGTTTACACCTGAATCCAGGAGGGAATTGGAAGTCATGCTTTCTCTGAGAGTAGATGAACCAGTCTGAAGTAGAGCCAGGAGGCTGTGCTGAGGAATCTGGACTGTTGATAGCGGTTTTCTGGTACGTGACATAATACGAGGGAACAAAACAATCTCCATGCAGGGTAGCCCATGCCCTCTGTGAAGAGCTGGCATCAGAGGCAGCTCCTGGAGAGAGCTCACTCCAGCAGCCCACTTGGGGCAGGGCTTCTGCCTCGTCCCTCTGTCCCCTGTCCCTCTRTCTTGGAATCCCTAGAGAGGGCCTCTCCTTTCCTGTACAGACTTCAGGCTAAGTTGCCCTCCTGGGAAGATCCTATGGAAGATTCTGGTTTCATTACATGTTCTAAAGTATACAACTAGAAGTAATTTGGGGCTTAAGAAAGCTGTCATCTCTTTTGTTAGCTCAAAGTTGTCTTGTGGAGAAAAGATTCTCCAGGGGCATGGACTTCCTGAAGAGCCTGAGGCTTTGACACCTGATTTCTGAAACCTAGGGACAGTGGCTTCAGATGTCTGCTAATGACCATAGAAATGTCAGTGATTGGTAATCTTCAACTTAATTTTTCAGTGGAAGTAGAGCCCATTTCTGGACTGGATTAATAGATTGTGTCTAAGGTGCAGACTCAGTGAGTTTGCAGTTAGTGTGTTCTGCCAACATGGTGAACTCCCAGGGTATTTTTTTTTTTTCTTCTTCTTCTTTCTAAAGTCACTTTCTTCTGRTGACCAATGTCACCATGATATCAGTAGTTGTTTGGGAATGGGAACAGTGTGTCTTAAGAATGACCACATAGATCCTTGTCAGTGCACAGGATTCCTGTTGAAGAGGTGCTGCCATACCTAGTGTAGGAGCCTAGTCGTTGAACCATCTTATTACATTCCATGTCACAGAACCTCCTAGCCACAATAAGGATCTGATGGAGATGGATTTACCCTTACAAAGTATCATGTAAAGTCATTAAAATTGTGAAAGTCTATTTTTTCCTTGTAAATCTATTTTTCACAGAATATAAGAAACGTCAATGACCTGATCTGTCCTTCCTCCTCTTCCTCACTTCACCCGAGATCCTCATTCCTGTTTGTATTGTTTTTGTGTCCAAAGTAAACTAGGTGACTTATTTGTATAAAATATTATTTTGCCACAGAGACAGTAATTAAAGAAAGATTTTCACAGTACCTCCACCCTGTCTTATCTCCTGAGTGGGCCCTGGGCATTGCTGGGGTGCTGGGGTGGGGCAGGGGCGATTTCCAGATTTCTCTTCTCTTGGTTATTACATGGGCTTTCTTTGAGTGAGCATAGCTGATTTCTAGGGTGATGAGGGACAGTATGTACTTTAGGTTGAATGATTTTGCTTTGTTTTCCAGGGTGCTTTTGAGAATTGAAAATTTGCATACACGTTTTAAAGACAGGCTTTTTCAGGTATATTCAACAGTAAAATTCACCTCAAGAACACAGCCTGGGGCTGGGGATGTGGCTCAACCGGTAGCGCGCTCGCCTGGCATGCGTGCGGCCCGGGTTCGATCCTCAGCACCACATACCAACAAAGATGTGTCCGCCGAGAACTAAAAAAATAAAAATATTTAAAAAAAAAAAAAAAAAAGAACACAGTCTGGGGGCTGGGGTTGTGGCTCAGCAGTAGAGCCCTAGCCTAGCACGTGTGAAGCCCTGGGTTCAATCCTCAGCACCACATAAAAATAAATAAAAATAAAGATATTGTGTCCAATTACAACTAAAAAAAATATTTTTTTATAAAAAGAATATAGTATAATGCATTTTGACAAAGGCAGTCWTACTGTCCCCACCAGTTTTGATACAGGATATTTTCATCACACCCACTCCAGAGCTTAACCTTGAGTTCTGCATGTTTGAAGGCAGTTCTTTCCCCCTGCCTCAACCTCTTGTAATCAGTCTGATTCTGTCTCTATTAGAAAACGCACGTGTGTGTGTGTGTGTGTGTGTGTGTGTATTTTTGCTACTAGGAGTTTAAAGACGGATACTATACCACTGAACTACAGTCCTAGTCTTTTTAAATTTTGAGACAGGGTCTTGCTAAGTTGTGTAGGCTGGTCTCAAGCTTGCAATCCTCCTGACTCAGCTTCCCAAGTCATTGGGATTACAGATTTGTGCCACCACTCCCAGCAGAAAACTCGTGTACTCTTAACAATTTTTTCTCTTTTTTTTTTTTTTGGTAGATGGACATAATGCCTTTTATTTTATTTATTTATTTTTATGTGGTGCTGAGGCTCRAACCCAGTGCCTCAGATGTGCTAGGCAAGTGTTCTACCACTGAGCTACAACCCCAGCCCTCGTATATTTTAATATAAAGCTCATCTATATTTATTGTCATAGCCAATATAATTTTAAAATAAGAGGCTGGGGACAGAGCTCAGGGGTAGAATGTGCAGCACAAGACCCTGGGTTCAGTTCCTATCAACAATAAATAATTAAGGATTTGGTTTAGATGGTCGGGGACACCTGAGGCAATTGTTGCCCTCTGCTCACAAACATAATTCTTTTTTCCTTTTTCTCCTGTTTGTTTTTTTTTTTTCCTTCTACCCTGGGGCTTGTGCCTAGGTGGGTAGGATGACTGGAAGATAAAGAAAACCTCAGTGTTTGTCAGTGACAGTCGTTTGATTTTAAAGCACTATGGATTGAGAGACTTTTTTTGTTTTGTTTTGTTTGCACTGGGGACTAAACCCAGAGGCTCTCAACCACTGAGCCACATCCTCAGCACTTTGTATTAAAAAAATAGGGGGCTGGGGTTGTGGCTCAGCAGTAGAGCACTTGTCTGACACTGCAGGGCCCTGGGTTCTATACAAATCAATAAAATTAAAGGTATTGTGCCCAATTACAACTAAAAAATAAATATAAAAAAATTTTAGGTGCACACAATATCTTTATTTCATTTTTATGTGGTGTTGAGGTTCGAACCCAGTGCCTCATGTGTGCTAGGCAAGGGCCCTACTACTGAGCCACAACCCCAGTCCTACACTTTTTGAGACAGGCCCTAACACTCTCTAAGTGTGTTAGGGCCTCACTAAGTTGCTGAAGCTGGCTTTGAACTTGTGATCTTCCTTCTGCTTCAGCCTCCAGAGTCACTGGGATTACAGGTGTATGCCACAGTGCCCAGTGGGAGACTTGCATTTTTTTAAATTCATTTTTTAAAAATAAAATGTTAAATACTAAGGACTTTGCTTGATTATTCTCTAGGAAGTGGAGCACAGGGTTTTTGGCATGTTGGGTCAGTGCAGTGGTCAGATTCCTGACTGAGTTATGGGAAGAAAGGCAGCTGGGGGGATGTGTGGTTTCCTCCAGGGAGGCTGTGAAAGTCAGGTTGACACTGTGCCAAGGGCAGTTGGTCTTGGACAAGTGACACCTTTATTGTTTCTGGAGCAGAGTGTAGGTGTCCTGATAAGGATCCTAGGGATCAGATTCATACCTCTGCCTCCCGGGTGGGAGATGGGACAGTGGAACAGAGAAGTTACACCCCACCTTCACCACCTCTGGGGGAAAGAACTCTCCCTGCGTATCCACCACGTTTCATGGGCCTAAATACCAACCACCAGAGAAAGACAAACCTTTGCTCCTCTTGAGGCCCAAGGAACTAGTGGAGGAGATGAAAAGATAATTTCAGATGTAAAGCATCAAGAATAAACGGACAGATGGAGAGTATGCTCTGGAGAAAAACTGGCCTGCTGTGGACAGGGCAGCTTGGGTGAAAGGCAGGGGGACAGTGATTGCAAAAGCCCAACGAAAGAACAAACTGGAGTCTTAAGAGAAAAGCTGCCTACCTGCCTTCTGTGGCTGAAGCAAAGACCGCCAGGGAACTGTGGGGCTGCGCCTCAGAGGTGAGTGGGTAGGGTTAGGGCTTAGCGCGTTAGGGCATGGGACTGGATTTTAGGAGAGATGGGTCCTTTGAAAAGGGTTTTCAGGGGCTGTGGCCGTGGCTCAGCGGTAGAGMGCTCGCCTAGCACGTTTGAGGCCCTGGGTTGGATCCTCAGCATCACGTAAAAATAAATAAAATAAAGGTATTATATATATGGGGTTTTCAGCCGATGGCAGCTCTCATTTTGTCTGTTTGGAGGTGGGATCTCCGACGTTGCCTAGGTTGGCCCCTAACTCCTGGGCTTAAGCAATCCCCCTCCACCCCACCCCACTAACTGAAACTACCCGGGCCGCCTCTGCACCCCGCTTTGGAGGGTTGCTTTCCTAGTATGCTTAGAAGACTACTGCGGCCTTTTTGAGAGATGCATCCTTGGTTCTGTCCTGTTATCAACGGCCAAAGGGACAGCAAGCTGACAGAACACTTGGCCTGCGCAGGAAATGATCATCCAATCTCCGGGCATCTCGGCCCCTCCCCTGCCATCCAAGGGGCGTGGCCTAGGCGGCGGCGGCCCCGCCCCCCCGCAGTCCGGAATCCGCGCGCTCACGGCCGGAGGTGGCGGAGATTCTCCCGCTTCTGTGCGCGTCCATGGCCGCCGCGCTGCTCGCCGGGGCCCGCGGCCCCCTCCGCGGAGGTGAGTGTGCCTGGGCTGCGCACCGCCAGGCCGTAGCCCCGGCCCGCCGAGCCCGCGTAGGTCCAGTCAGCGTGTCCTGCCCAGCAGCGGGTGGACGGGCTGGCCACACCCGCTCCAGAAGGCCCGAGACCTTTGCCCCAGTTCAGCTGACCCTGGCGCCCGCCTGGCCTGACCCTTCCCCTGCTGCSGTCCAACCCCCAACCCCTGGAAGCCCCTTCTTTCAACCCATTTCGCACAGCTTGCGCCTACACTCCTGCAGAGTCCCAGGTCCACCCTTCCTCTCGTGCCAGGCCTGAGAACTACTTCATCAGTGACCTTGGACAAAACAGTTAGTTCCTTGCAGCCTCAGTTGGCCTAAGTATGAAATGGCCACAGTGTATTACTACTATTCTCATAATTGTTGGAAGGATTAAATCACAGGGTTTATAAATTACTTAGTACAGTGCCTGGCACATAGCAGGTGTTCCTATATAATGTTAATTGTTGATTATTTAATATAGTACCTTTCCCATCATATCATTTGTCTCCAGGTGTAGCAGCAGTGACACACATTTGGCTGAATCAGATTTGAACTGATCCACAGATCTAGTAGATCTCTCCCTAATAACAATAAGGAGACCCCTTGATGGAGAACTATGCAAAGTGCAACTGTTAGTATTTCTTTAATCCTCCCTCTTGCAGGAGCTGAGGGTTATTGTGCCCACATTTTATAGAAACTGAGGCTCAGGCTTGGTATGGTGGCTCATGTCTGAAATCCTAGCAACTCTGGAGGCTGAGGCAGGAAGGATCACTACTTCAAGGCTAGAGCCTCAGCTACTTAGCTAGATCCCATCTCAAAAAGTGTGGGCGATATACCTCAGTGGTAGAATGCTCCTGGGTTCAATCCCCAGTTCCAGGAAAACAACAACAACAACAACAAAAAAAAAAAAAAACAAAGAAAGAAAGGAACTGAGTGTTTAAACCCTCTTCTAAAGTAATGGAGTTGTAGTCTTATTATATTTGGTGTCATATTGAGCATTGAATAAAATGGAAGTGTCTGGAAAGTATTTAGTTAGCTTGGGGTTTTTCCGCAGTAGCACTATTGCATTTGGGCTGACATTTTTATTTATGTATTTCTTTAGAGAGGATTCTTGCTATGTTGTCCAGGCTAGCCTCAAGTTCTTGGGCCCCAGTGATCCTCCTGCCTCAGCCTCCTGAGTAACCGGGACTATAAGAGCTCTGTCACCACACAAGCATGATTCTTTCTTTCTTTTCTTTTCTTTTCTTTTCTTTCTTTCTTTCTTTTTTTCTGTACTGGGATTGAACTTGAGGCTGGCACATATTAGGCAAGTGTTCTAAACAGAGGTACATCTCTAGCCTTTTTATTTTTTTGTCTTGAGACAGAGTCTTGCTAAGTTGCCTAGACTGGTCTTGAGCTTGTGATCCTCCTGCCTCAGCCTCCTRATTAGCTGGAATTACAGGCATGTGCCCCCCTCCCTAGCTCCATAATTCTTTCTTGTGAGGGTTGTCATGTGCATGGTAGGAACTCTGGCCTCTGCCCACTGGATACCAATAGCATTTCTCCTTTAGTTGTAACAACCCAAAACATATCCAGACATTGCCAGATGTCCCTTGGGGATTAAAATTTTCCCTGATGGAGAAGCTCTTAGTGAGTAGATCATGATTATTGTTATTAACAATTATTATTGCTATTATTATTACTCAAGATCTCTTTCATTCTCTTTCTACTGACTCCTGCTATTCCTGCTGGCAGCTCTCCATGCTCGGGTCTGGCGGAGGTTGCACACTATCTACCAGTCTGTGGAACTGCCTGAGACACACCAGATGTTGCGGCAGACGTGCCGGGACTTTGCTGAGAAGGAGCTGTTTCCCATTGCAGCCCAGGTGGACAAGGAACACCTTTTTCCGGCTGCTCAGGTGAGCGCACCAACCACAGCAGCCCATTTTGGCCATCTGCTCTCAGATGACTGGTTACAATGGGGGAGAGRTGACAGTGACAGCCAGAGGCTCTAAGAGTCAGGGAACCTCAAAGGAAGACATGGGACCCCAGAAATGCTGAGTTCACCATGAGGCCTTTAGCTAGGATTCCACTTCCAGAACAATACTAATCAATAATAGGTGGTCAGTATGCGTTAATGCTCACAGGATGGTGGCCATGTGCCTTCCTCACAAGGGTCCTATAGGGCAAAGGTGTTATTATTATATCCCCATCGTAGAGCTGAATGAGGCTCAAGTTTATGAGCAGGTTAGATAATGTACCCAAGGTCATGGGACTAATCAGCTGCAGAGTTAGGTCTTTGTCCCAGGTCTSACTTCTCTCAAGCCTTGAGAACCCCACCAATAAGTGCCTTCCCATGTTCTATTTATGCTCAGTCCATATGCAATGAAATGTTTAAGCTGTTACCAGTGCATCCCTTGACCTAGCAAGATGGCAGGAAAATGGTATAAACACTTAATAGGTACTTGTTGAATCAGTGGTTTGTGAAAGTACAAGTGTTGGGCGCTAATCACATGCCTGTAATCCCAGCAACCTGCGGAGGCTGAGATAGTGGGATCACAAATTTAAGGCCAGCCTCAGCCATTTAGTGAGACCCTAAGCAACTTAGTGAGACCTTGTCTCAACATAAAAATATAAAGGGCTGGGAATGTGGCTCAGTGGTAAAGCACCCCTGGGTTCAATCCCTAGGACCACCCCCCCAAAAAAAAACCCAAACAAATGTTTCTTGCCTGTTTTTCAGTCAGAGTAATTTCAGAGTTGTGGTCCCCATGTACATGTCCTGCAGGTGCTGGAGCTGCTCTTCCAGCTTAATGAATGTGGTCATTATATTGGGCACTGTGCCCGGACGGTGGGAAGACCCAAGGAGCTCCAAGCTGAATACACAAGTGGCATTCTAGGTACCAAAATCAGCTGGGCATTTTGTAGATATTAGACATGTCAACTCCTTTAATCCTAAGGAAATCCCTACTTAATCTAGTCTTCATGTTGCTTTCTGGAATGATTGCCATGATGAAGTGAGATCATGTTTCAYGGATGCCTGGTACCTGGTACTTGAACAATGGTAGTTATTAATATGATAGTTGTTATTTTCATTACTCTGCCATGCAACCAGCGCTGGCTTCATGAAAGAAGGTTCGGTTCATAAGTAATTGCTATGGAGTTTTAAATTAAAGAGACAAGACTCTCATTACCTTTAATACCAGCTCCAGGACAGCTTCTCCTAGCTCCCACCTCCAGCCACCTAATGCGGTGGCGAGGTTTACAGAAGAGACTAGTGAGAGAGAGAACACGCCAGGGAGTGGGCTTTTATTGGGGAACAAAAAATTCCAGGGAAAATCCCATCCCATGAAGGTTAAGGGGGGCAGCATCCCAAGGTCAGGGGCGACGATTGGGTCTTCAGGGCAGTGGCCAGGCACGCCTCTGCACAAGCCCTTGGACCTGGGAAGGGGTGGGGARTAGCTCTGACGTAGCTAAGTGCCTCTGACCCAGCCAGGGAGGTAACTCAGTTCACATGCGAGGATGACCTCCTACACATTGAGAAAATAGAAGCCTAGAGAAGGGAAGTGACTTTCCTTCCAAGGTTTGCTGGTGTTTGGAGCTAGGCTTCACAACCCAAGTCTGGCTGGCTCCAAAACCCTTCCTTCACCATCCGTGTGGTTGTCCCAGAGGCCCMGCTGGCAGGCAGGGAAGCCCCATGCTAGTTGGGAATAGTGCCATCTAGACTGCCTGGTCCCTGCCCTGCCATACTTACCACACACATGCTCTCAGTGACCTCGACTTTTAGTGTCTTTGTGGAGATGTGCAAAAAGGCAGATTCTTGGTGAGGAGAGAAAGGGGAGATACAGACGGGCCTGGTGCAACAGCAGCAATTTAGGCCTTCAAGGCCCAGCTGTGTGTTGGAATCTTCCTGCCAAGTGACAGATGGCTTGGTTTATTTTTCCTATATTGTGCTCTCTCAAATTATTACCAGTATCACAAACATAGATATTTGCTCTGTGCAAAACAACTGGTGAGAGAAGCAAAACCTTTTACCAGCCTATATTCTTAACTAGTTCTCTGGCTTTGTGCTCTCATGCTTGCTCTGTGGGGATGGGGACATTGCAAATTCATCCTTCCAAATTGTGGCAATAATGGGCTTGGAGGAGATAAGGGACCACAGCCTCTCTTCCTTCTGGCATGTGGGAGGGGACTCAGGAAGGATTTCCTCAGGGCATGAGGGTAGCTGAGTGGGTGATAGCATCCCTGTTTGGTTTTATTATGTACAAGGTGTTTGCATATCTGTGACCTCTTTGCTCTCCTTTGCCTCTGTTTGCAGGTGATATGTGCATTCTCTCTGGTTGTAGAGCTAGGGAGGAGGAGTGCCAGGCCTTCTGATCTGGCCAGTGTACCACATGAGCAAGGCGCTTGTTTGGTGGCTGATGGATGCATGGGTTATTCCTCAATGTTTGCTTCTCTCATCTACGGCCTAACACTTTTTGCTTTTATCCCTGTTACTGTGTATGGTGCCAAGCGCCCAGTAATAGAAGGTAATTCAGGATAAGGCAGGCAGAAGACTCGAACAACTAGACACACACAAATCATATGGCATATCTGCAGAATTCTGTATTACACATGAATGTCTCAAAATCATAATAGAAGCAGCTGGTAGTGTGGCTCAGTGGTAGAGCGCTTGCCTAGCTTATGCAAGGCCCCGGGTTCCATCCCCAGCATCACAGACGCATAAAAACCAAAAAATCATACAAAAACCCCAAATCATAATAGTAATAACATCAGTAGCCAAGATTTGGAGGCTTGTATATTCCAGGTGTATATCCGTATATTAACTTATTTAATCTTTAAGACTACAGGATAAGTAAGCACTTAATTATCTCCAGTTTTCAGATGAGGAAACTGGAGCTAGAGGGTAAGTTTCTTACTTAATAGTGGCACCGTTGGTAGGTGAGGAGCCAGCGACTGGCTTCGGAACCACCCCCTGCCTACAATTTCCTTAGTGATTTCTGGTATTTTTCCCTAAAGAATTTTTGTTCCCCCAGAAAAGGAGGGAAGGGTCAAGGGGAAAGGAATTGCGAGGAGGTTAGTCCAAGAATTAGGAGAAAGGCTAGTGCCAATTGGTGATCAGTGTGGCTAGTTTTGTAACCTTAGTTGATCTTTAGTCTTTTTATGTGCGAACCAACAAGTGAAAGAAACAATTATGAATTCATAAGGCCATTTTGATATAAAGGGGATTAGGAAACAGAATGGTATCCCCAACAAATTTTGGACTTCTTAACCTTGAATATGTATCTATATGTATAAAACTGAAGCCACTTTCCTCTCATTCACTTGGTAAATTATGATTGAATAAAGCAAAACCTGCTTTTCCTTCTCTTGCTTTGTCTCATATAATGGTAAAGCCACATAGAAACTTCTAGATCACACTCCATTTTTCTTCTCCCTCCTGTCCATTAATTCCACCTGGAAATGTTGTCCTCCACCTTCTCTCATTTCTTCCAACCAGAACTTATTTCTCTGTCCCAAGGGCATTTCATTTGAAATTCATAATCCTCTGGGTTCATCATATTACACTATTTTTTTGTTTTTTAAGTCCCAGGGATCAATCGAATGCATCAGTCTCTACCATTGAGGCAAATCCCTAGCCATTTTTATTTTGTATTTTGAGACAGAGTCTCACTAAGTTGCTGAGGCTGGCCATAGTCGTTATCCTCCTGCCTCAGCCTCCCAAGTTGTTAGATTTCAGGCATGTGTCACCATGCCCAGCTTGCATATATCTTTTTTTTTTTTTTTGTAGATAGACACAATATCTTTATTTATTTATTTTTATATGGTGCTGAGAATCGAACCCAGGGCCTCATGCATGTGAGGCAAGCGCTGTACTACTGAGCTACAACCCCAGCCCTGCATAGGTCTTTAAAGAATATATTCTTTTTTTTTTTAAGAGAGAGTGAGAGAGGAGAGAGAGAGAGAGAGAGAGAGAGAGAGAGAGAGAATTTTTTTAATATTTATTTTTTACTTTTTGGCGGACACAGCATCCCCGTTTGTATGTGTACTGAGGATCGAACCCGGGCTGCACGCATGCCAGGCGAGCGCGCGCCACCGCTTGAGCCACATCCCCAGCCCCAGAATATATTCTTATTTTTAATTGACACATAGTAATTGTACATAGTTGTGGGACACAATGTAACATTTCTATGCATATATGCAATGTACCATGATCACATCAGGATAATTGCTCCATCTGTCCCCTCAGACATTTGTTATTTCTTTGTGTTGGGAACACTCAAGGTCCACTCTAGTGGCTGTTTTGAGATATTTAATTATTGTTGTCGTCAACCATAGTTACCTGATCCTTCTGTGCTGTGTGTCCCACATCAGTTATTTCAGACAGTTTCCCGAGGGCAGAGTCAGGCACTTGTTCTTACTCTTGTCCTCTGTCACTGTGACACCTTGTCGGTAGTAAGTGCTCAGCAGTCAACAGATGCCTATAGGGTTTTGTTGAATTAAGCCAAATTGGGCACCTGTTGGATAAGCGCCAGCTCCTGGCCTCCTCATCGTCCTGGCCTGTAATCCACACACAGAGCAGCATCTGGAGGAGGGGCTGGGGGTGGAACCCGGGCCTCTGGACTGCTAGGCGAGAGCTCCACCAGCAAGCTGCATCCCAGCCCCTGGGTTTTATCTTGAATTAGTGGCAACTCCTCAGCAAGGTAGGATATGTTATTTTTTAAAGGAAATTAGTTTTTGCCAGGCACGGTCGCACATCCTGTCATCCCAGCAGCTCAGGAGGCTGACAYAGGAGATGGCTAGTCCAAAGCCAGCCTCAGCAACAGTGAGGCCCTAAGCAACTCAGTGAGACCCTGTCTCTAAATAAAATACAAAATAGGGCTGGGGATGGGGCTCAGGGGTCGAGTGCCCCTGAGTTCAGTCCTTGGTACCCCCACATCCAAAAAAAAAAAGGTAATTAGTTAAGTGAATAAGGTGTGCCTAGAATAAATGCAGTATTTTTAAAATGCCAGTTTAGATGAGAAGTGCCTTAAAGCGTTGTTTTGATAGAAGTCCGTCTGTCCTTCCTTCCTTCCTTCCTTCCTTCCTTCCTTCCTTCCTTCCTTCCTTCCTTCCTTCCTTCCTTCCTTCCTTTCTTTTCCTTTTCTTCTTCTTCTTCTTTTCACTTTATAAAGAGAAGAGTTTTGTTTAGCTCACAGTCCTGGAGATTCAAAGTCCAAGATCGGGTAGTGTTGTTTGGCTTCTGGCAAAGATGTGCCCAAACAGGAAGGTCCAGGGCGAAGTGTCCTTTGAACACTCCCAAACTCGAGGCGGCAGGTGCTGGAGGCTGAGTGGTGTGTGGCTGCTGGAGGAGGGCCTCCCCTGGTTTCTTTGGGGAGTGTGGAACCCGCCACGCTGGGCGCCCTCGGGGGCAGTAGCCTCTCTCTAGGGTGCAGGTCCAGTTGCTGGTTCTCTGACACAAGGGACCAAGAACCACACTGTGGCCGCTATGGGAGGTTGTCCTTGAGAGGGCCCTGAGGGTCAGGCCTCTCTGTGAGAAATGCTGAAACCAGGGCTGCCGGGCCCGCCAGCGGTCACCCCACTCACCTGCTGACCCCGCGTCCCCCCACCGCACTCTTTTGTTTTGGTTTCTTCTTTTCGTTCATGTTGTCTCCTCTCTGTCACCCTCTCTTTCCCTCACTGCTGGTCTCCTGTCCCTTTTTCAGGATGCCCTTCAATGAGAGCACATTGTCAGCCGTATGGCTTCCATCCCCAGCTTTTTTTCTAGAATGTTCCTGGGGCTGGCCACAGCACGCTGCCTGAGATGTAGAGATCCATGTCAGACAGCGAGAGGCCAGGCAACCTGGGCTCCCTGATGAAGTGGGGTGGCTGAGTGGACACAGGCTGGGGGGTGGAGCGTTCTCCCTTTGGCCAGGGGAGTCGATGTTTTAAAAAGAAAGCRCTGATGGGAAGGGGAAGGGGAGGCTCGGCAGATGCTGGTGAAGTCCTGTGGCTGTGGCCACTGGGAGCTCCTCCAATTGCCGAGCTGGCCCAGGGGGACTGTCGAGGCAGCCAGAGAGGAGGCGGGAAGAGAGGCCAAGCCAGAGTTCCAGCTGGCTCCCTGTGGCCTGGACTGGCCATGGCTCCCTGTGCCCTCTCTGGGTCAGTTCCCCCATCCAGAAAAGGAAATTCTTGCACTGCCCACCTGTCAGGAAGGGACCCTGGGCATTTTAGGTGTGGAGAACTGAGTAGAACTGCCCAGCACTTCTGGTTGTCATTGTCTCTGGGATGCAGTGGGGTCCTGGGTGAGCCATTCGGCCATTGTTTGTTCTAGGGCAGTCTCTCTCTCTCTCTCTCTCTCTTTTTTTTTTTTTTTTTTTTTTTGTGGTACAGGGGATCGAACCCAGGGCCTTGTGCATGCAAGGCAAGCACTCTACCAACTGAGCTATGTCTCCAGCCCTTCTAAACAGCATGAGCTATTTTAGCCTCAGTCTCTTGCTGGGAGGCAGGAGAGAGAGCCTTCCAACAAGGTTCCTATGAGGGTTGGACGTGAGTCTTAAGAGCCTTGAGCCTTCTAGAACCTAGAATGCAGGGTCCAGCAGCAGAGGCATTCCATAACAAACCTCTTTTGTCACCTGAAAAGAGGTTTGCTGGATGCCTCGAGTGTGGGCTAGAGAGGTGCTGTGTCCTGAGCCACATTTGTGTCAGCACTGTGCCGTCTCCACCTTCTCTACACAGTAAAAAAACTGCAGAAACCATCCTTGACTTTGAACTTGCCTGCTCCCCAGTTGATTTCCTGCCTGTTGAAATGATGTTCATTTCTGGCCAGGCACAGTAGTGTACTTTTGTAATCCCAGTGACTCAGGAGGCTGAGGCAGGAGGATTGCAAGTTTGAGGCCAGCCTCAGCAACTTAGACAGTGTCTCAAAATTTTAAAAAAGGCTGGGGATATAGTTTAGTGGCAAAGGACTCTGGGTTAACTCTTCAGGCTCTCCCCAAATGCATATTTCTGAGTAGGATCATACCCTCTCCTCCAAGTGTTTGGTGGTCACAGAATGACCAGGGATTAGGATGTGGATATCTGTGGAGGCTGCCCTTGTGCCACCTGCACCCTGGCCATCTTCTTCCTTGCTGACTGCAGAACTTGATCAGCACCTGGGGTCAGCACAGTGCTGACAAGTTTATGCCCCACTCATATTATGCAGGGTAGACCTGAGGTGTGGAAGCCTCACCCCCACCCCAAGTTTTGAGTCTTGCAAGAGAGTTTCCCAGGGGAACAGTCCAAGGAAGAATCAAGCAAGCAGTTTCCTAGAGGACAAAGATTGTCACAGAAGTCATCCCAGCAGGTTGAGAGGTACCCCTTCTCCTTGTGTCATGGTAAATAAGAACTCTCAGCCCCCTGGTGACATTAAATGCTCATCAATCTCAGAACAAACCTGTGCAGTAAGTACTGTTTTGGGGGGGAAGAGGAATGAAAACTTTCAGAATCTAGAACTAAGACTAATTATAGAAAAAGAAGAAAAGACCCACAGGYCTCGTTCTTAGTTTATTCCTTTAAGTGAAATGGTAAGAAAATGGTTATAAGAATGCGTCAGTATCCCTGGAGTCTGCACCCGTGGATTCAGCCAACCTAGGATCAAAAATATTCCGAAAAAGAACTCCACCTCTTTCTGAACATGTCCACCTGTTTTCTTGACATTATTCCCTAAATGATACAATATAACAACTGGGTACAGAGCATTTACATTATAGTAGGGGTTCAGAGTCATCTAGACATGGTTGAAAGTTTCTGGGAGAGAGCTGGGGATGTGGCTCAGGGTGTGTGTGACCTGGCCTACACAAGGCCTAACACCTGTTATCAACCCGTCAGTTTGTCAGTCAACCCATTTCCTCCGTGCTGTAGAGATAAGACACCCTTTTATATGAGAGACTTGTGCTTCTGCGGGTTTGATATCTGCAGGGCGTCCTGGAACCAGTCCCCTTTGGATGCCAGAGGGTGACCGTAGGAGAGGGCTCATCAAAGCACTTCCCCTTCCTCCCGCTCCCTGCGTCTCAGAGGCACCTGGTTTTGGTTGTTTCTCCCTGAAGTTAGGTAGTTTTGGTTGTGGTCCGCATCTCAGGTGCACAGCAGCCTTGGAAAGGTTAAGGGATTTGTCATAGGTTTGCAGGGACAGAGCTGGGCAGTATGATAAGCTAGTTAAGATTCTGTGCCTTGCCCAGGTTTCAGTCGCAACCATAACTTACATACTCTGTGGCCTGGAGCAGATTCCTTAACCTCTCTGAACCCCAGTTTTTTCAGTTGTACTATGAGGCTAACATGAGCATTGTTTCACAAACTTCTGACAGACTCAAATGAAGCGGTACACATAAATCACTTAGGTACAGAATTTGGCATACAATAGGTACTTGATATTAATAATTACTATTATTATTATTGTGATTATTCCAAATAAAAAATCCTAAACTCTTATCATCCATTCTTTCCTTTTCCTGGCATTGGGTATGTAGCAGTGAGGAAAAACAAAGTCCCTGCCCCTCATGATCAAAGAGAGAGGTCTTAGTCAGAACAAGCACATTGATAGACCTGAAATTCTGGCTGCAGAGCTATTGTGAGGGTGTGGCAARAGCGTGATTAGACTCTGCCCAACAGAGTGGTGGCCCAGAGGGGTGGGGCTTGAGCTGAGATCAGGAGAGGAGAAGCCTGACGMGGTGGTGCACGCCTGTCATACCAGCGGTTTGGGAGGCTGAGACAGGAGGATCACAAGTTCAAGGCCAGCCTCAGCAACTTAGCGAGGTGCAAAGCAACTCAACGAGACCCTGTCTCTGAATAAAATATATTAAAAAAAAAAAAGGCTGGGAATGTGGCTCAGTGGTTAAGTGCCGCTGGGTTCAACCCCTGGTACCAAAAAAAAAAAAAAAAAGAAAGAAAGAAAGAAAAGAACAGAAGGCGAGAAGGAGAAAAGAACTAGTCTGTCGAGGGCGTTGCTGACGTGTGACATGGGAAACAGCACGTGCCAAGGCAGATGGCGGGGAGAGGAGTACAGGTGTGCACCTCGGGGAGTGAGGGAAGGTCGGGTGGGCACAGTGCTGCCCCCTCCTCACCTTGGAGTCCCCTAAAAGCTTTCTATGCCTGGCGGGAGGGGGCCCTCCCTGGACTCAGGGACGGGCATGGTGAGTGGGGACCTGGCCCCAGTGTCTGCAGACGCTGCCTCGGGGCAGGAGGAGTGGGGGCTGGGGGCTGGCCTCACTCTGTCCTCTTTGCCCTGGGCCAGGTGAAGAAGATGGGTGAGCTGGGACTTCTGGCCATGGACGTGCCTGAGGAGCTCGGTGGTGCCGGCCTCGACTACCTGGCCTACTCCATCGCCATGGAGGAGATCAGCCGCGGCTGTGCCTCCACCGGAGTCATCATGAGCGTCAACAATGTGAGGCCCTCCTGGGCTCCCAGGACCTGCAGGTTGCGGGAGGCTCCCGTGGGTGGGCAGGACCCTGCCAGGGAGCAGCGGCCAGCAGCCAGCCTAGGCTCCCAACCCTCACCTCCCTGGAGTAGCCTCTGGACTTTGTCCTGTGGAGTGGACCTCTGGAGACCGCAGGCTACTGGGCGGCCTCTGACCRCTGCCTGCTGTCCTCCCAGTCTCTCTACTTGGGGCCCATCATGAAGTTTGGCTCTGCAGAGCAGAAGCGGAAGTGGGTCACACCTTTCACCAGTGGTGACAAAATTGGCTGCTTTGCCCTCAGCGAACCAGGTACTGTGGGCTCACCTCAGAATCAGGTGACACCCAGATGGGAGCTGGGGGCCCCTGGGAGAGGCAGGGACAGAGCCTGTGCTGCTGGACCAGGTGCTGCTCCCTGTCCCACAGCCAGAGGGAAGGCCCTGTGGGCAGCGGAGACCATTTGCCGGGGGAGGGAATGCTGCTGTCCCTGGTTTGCAGGGGGGACTTGGCTTGGGGTCCTTCCCGCTTGGAGGCCCGGGCCTGAGTCTGTGTGTGGTGCAGGGAACGGCAGCGATGCCGGAGCCGCCTCCACCACAGCCCGGGCAGAGGGCGACTCGTGGGTCCTGAATGGCACCAAAGCCTGGATCACCAATTCCTGGGAGGCCACAGCCACCGTGGTCTTTGCCAGCACAGACAGATCACTGAAGAACAAGGTGGGCCAGGCTGGCAGGGCCCTGGGCTCTTGTCCGTTCGGTTGAGACCCTCCTGGCCTGTGCCTGCTCTGGTGGGGCCTTCTCTCCCCCTGGAACCCGCACCTCCTCCCACCAGGCCAGCAGAGGGGGTGGGAGCCCCGGGCTGTGTTGGCTGTCTTGGTGCGTCCAGCCTGGCAGCCTCACAAAGCCTCTTGGGGCCTTCCAGGGCATCAGTGCCTTCCTGGTTCCCATGCCAACTCCTGGACTCAYGTTGGGGAAGAAGGAGGACAAGCTGGGCATCCGGGCCTCGTCCACGGCCAACCTCATCTTTGAGGACTGTCGCATCCCCAAGGAGAACCTGTTGGGGGAGCCAGGGATGGGCTTCAAGATAGCCATGGTGAGCCTGGCAGTGGGCAGTGCCCTGGGGCCAGGCCCTGGGCCCCGCCGTGCAAGCCACTGACAGGCAGGCGGTCCCCACAGCAAACCCTGGACATGGGCCGCATCGGAATTGCCTCCCAGGCCCTGGGCATTGCCCAGGCCGCCCTCGACTGCGCTGTGAACTATGCTGAGAACCGCCAGGCCTTCGGGGCGCCCCTCACCAAGCTCCAGGGCATCCAGGTATAGGTATGGGGCCAGGGCGGTGTCTTTCGCAGCTGCGTCTGGAGCCAGGGGCCTCTTTCCCGTCCTGCGTCTTCCTCCCCCTCGTCCCTGTCCTTGGAGGGAAGAGGTGTACTTGCTGATGGAGGGGGCTGGGTCGTTGCAGTTCAAGCTGGCAGACATGGCCCTGGCCCTGGAGAGTGCCCGGCTGCTGACCTGGCGCGCTGCCATGTTGAAGGATAATAAGAAGCCTTTCACCAAGGTGCGTGTGGGGTGGGGACACAGGGCGCCCTCTGAGGGAGGTGTCGGGTGGGTCTCTGTTCCTTGGCCCCCTGTGGTCAGAGGGGTGGGCCTGTGGGGTATTGTGCAAAGGGTCTCCTGCAGGTCCACCCCTGCTGCGGGGCTGTGGAGTGGGGGGCTCCCCTTCAGGGGAGGTTGCTGACTGCCATCCCGCTGGTTAGGAGGCGGCCATGGCCAAGCTGGCTGCATCGGAGGCCGCTACAGCCATCAGCCACCAGGTGAGYGTCCAGGTGCTCCCCTCCTCCTGGGTGCAGGGCCCTCCCCATCTTCACCTCCTGAGCCCCTGCTTTCTGTCTTAGGCCATCCAGATCTTGGGCGGCATGGGGTACGTGACAGAGATGCCTGCTGAGCGCCACTACCGTGACGCCCGCATCACTGAGATCTACGAAGGCACCAGTGAGATCCAGAGGCTGGTGATTGCTGGGCACCTGCTCCGCAGCTACCGGAGCTGAGCCTCTGAGGGACCAGTKCCCAGCTGGCAGCGCCACGTGCCTCACCTTGACTCCAGGCAGACCKTGGGCGGGCACCTGCCTCTGCAGGCTCCCCAGCTCCCTGCTCCACAAATCAAAGTAAATCTCAGGGAGAAGACAGGCCAGCCGCCGTGAGGACACATCCATCATCAGCGTGGATCCTGGGTCCTGATGCCCCTTCTGACCGACTGTGCCTCATTTTCTAACCCTGAGTGGCCATGGCCTCCTGCAGGCAGGACCTTGGGGAGGGCTAAATGATACAGTGGCTCCCCAGTGCCGTCCTGTGGACCCTGCACCTGGGCATGGAGACTCAGGAGGGACAGGCTCTCCTCAGGGTCAGGGCCCAGGAGGAGCAGGTGGGTGCCTTAGCAGCTGTGGTCAGGCCCTGGGGTCCGTGGCTGGGGAGAACTGCAGGGCTGGGTCACGGAGCCGCCTCAGGTCCGGGTGGGTACAGTGTGTGGCCTGCTGGTCGTGTGGGGACTGAGTGCTAATAAAGCCTACCTGTGCCCTCCCGCCTGTGTCCTTGTCCTCCCTGCTGTCAGCRCACCCCACCCTGCATGTGGTAGGCCACTGGTCTTGGAAAGCCCCAGGCTTGGGGGGTYGGGCTGCTCAAGAAGGCTCAGGAGAACCAGGAGCCTCTCTGACATCAGGTCCAGTGCCAGCAGGGAGGCCTCCCAGGGATTGTTAGGGGGTCCCTAGGCAACCCCTGCCCACAACCACATATGAGGGAGGAGCAAGACTCTTGAGGGTGGGGGACCCAGGTGGGTGGAATCAGACTGGAAAGGCAGCTTTTGGCGACTGGGGTGGTGGCTCAGTGGCAGAGCGCTTGCCTAGCACATGTGAGGCCCTGGGTTTGATCCTCAGCACCACAGTAAAGGTCATCGACAACTAAAAATATCTTTTAAAAAAAAAAGGCAACTTTTTTTGCTTAGCGTTTGAATGCTCCAGGCACTGCCCCCACTGGGCCAGCCTAGGAGAGGGACTTTCCAGGGTCCCGGTGCCCTGCTGGGCAGGATCTGGGCATGGGTGCCTGAGATTTAGCTGCTTGGGACAATGTTGTATGTGACTGAGAATCTGGAGAGAGAAATGCAACAGAGCTCTCAAAGGAGGCGGCCAGCTCTGCCGTGGGAAGGGCAGGGAGGCCAGCTGTCACTGCAGGGGGTTCTCTGGAGGGCACACAGAGGGAGAATGATGACCCTTTTGAAGTCTTTGTCCACGGGCTGCTGAGCAAGCCAAAGCCCTCACTGCTTATGAATGCCAAGGGGCCTGCCTACAGTTCCTGCCCTTGGCCACCTGGGCCCAAGGCTCCCACGTGCAAGGCCTGCGCTGCGCACCTGCAGCCCAGCAGTGGGCAGGAGAAGGCCCGTGGGCCAGGCCCGGGGAGGAGGAGCTTCTTGTGCAGATTCAGGTCCTGATTTCCTGCACTGCTCAGGTGGGCCCTGTGGGCAGGGCGTGCAGGTGGCGGCTTCCTAAGGAGGTACACCTTGGCTCCTGCGAGGCGCTTCCTCTCATGCGTTGAGGGCAGGCAGCCTCCTGGGGGCTTGCAGAAGTTTGGGGATCTGTCCTCCTCCTGGTTCCAGGTGAGTGCCCACACCCACGGGTCTCCTGTGCTTTTTCCCACTGGGCTCCGCTAGAGGTATGGAGCAGAGGGGGCTTCAGGGTGTCTCCCAGAAGCCGCATTTGACTCTCCCACCCTAGGGGCAGATGACAATCTGTCACTCCCTGGGTGGGGGCCCTGTGACCTGGGAACAGTGGAGACAGGGTGGTCAGAGAAGGCTCCTTGGTCTCTAGCCGGTGGTGCTGGTTCTTGGACACGGCCTTGAGGGAAGCAGTTTGGGGGATGGCCCTCTAGGTGGCAGGGGAGGGGAGGTGTGAGGCTCAGAGAGGAGCAGGGGGTACCCAGACTGAACCTGGGCCCTAGGCAGAGGCAGCCGGTCTGGAGGCCCAGCTGACCTCTCTCAGGACTCTGGCCGTACCTGACGGGTGCTCAGGCCCTGAGGGTCCTCAGGGTCACCAGCTCTACCCTCTGAAAAGCATCTGAGTGTTGAAGGTGGTGACAGCCAGCCTGAACCAGGCTGTGCCCAGCAGGRAGAGGGCTTTGTCCAAGAGATGGTCGCAGGTTCCTACTTCCAGGCCTGTGTGGACCTCAGAGCAAAGGGCTGGCTTTGGAGGTCAAGTGTTGTCCATTTGTGGATGAAGGAATTGAAGCTCCAAAGCCAAGGTCCAGTTGTGTGCCCCAAGGAGCCGTCCTGAGTCCCGGGTCTGTCCCCTCTCTTCTGGGAAAGAATCAACACACGGACTTCCGCCAGGTACTGGCCTGTTTGCTGAAGCTCCCGCTTAATTAAAACTAAGTTCTAGACTGCACCCCTGAGCCTGTTTGAACCTAACTATTGAAGAGTCAGTTGAGTCGTGCGCCTTGGCATGTATTTCCAAGAGCAAGGATGCTCACCTGCATCGCAACGGGACAGTCACCCAAACTGTCCAAGCTGCAGACATACGATCAAATTTTACCAATTGACCCAACGACTTCCAGGTGATGTTTTTCAAGGTTGGGCCCAGGCATTGCCTGAAGTTGAGAGGTCACCTGTCTCCTTCGCTCTAGGGCAGCTCCCCAGACTGCGCCCCGAGTTCACGACTTTGGCATTTTAGAAATGGCCAGGCTGGTGGTTTGTAGGCTGTCAATCTAGATTAGGCCGATGAGGTCCTCACGATTAGCTGCAGGTGTGTATCACGGGCAGAAATCCTATAGCTGGACTCTTTGACGCCTGACGGAGCATTTGTATTTTAACCTTAATCTCCTGAGAGCTGTCAGTTTTATTAGTCTTATAAATTATATTCATCTTTGTAAAGGCTTTATTGTTGGCTTTATTAACACTCAATATTTGGTTTGGGGGCTGGGGCTCAGTGGTAGAGCACTTGCCTAGCACGTGTGAGGCACTGGGTTCAATCCTCAGCACCACATGTAAATAAATAAATAAAGGTCCATCAACAACTAATAAAATTTTTTTAAAAAATTCAATATTTGGTTTTTAAATTGTATTCAATAGTTCTAATGCTTCCTTCTATGTTTTTGTGGATTTATTTTTTAATTTTTTTGTAGTTGTAGATGGGTTGCATGCCTTTATTATTTTTTTAATTATATATATATATAATATATATATATATATATTATATATATATATTTTTTTTTACCTTTATTTGTTTGTTTTTATGTGGTGCCTGGAATTGAGCCCAGTGCCTTGCACATGTTAGGCAAGCACTCTACCACTGAGTTACAGCCCCAGCCCTTTTTGTAATTCGATTTTTTTTTTCATGATTTTTGTTTTGGTTTTTGGTGGTGCCCGGGTTAAAACCAGGGCCTTGGATACGCTAGGCAAGTGCTGGCTCTGCCACTAAGCTGTCCCCAGCCCTGATTTGCTTTTCCTTTCCAACTTCCTAGGCTGGCTGCCGTTGATTGCTTTTGTTCCCTTTTCTAATAAATGAGTTAAAAGTTCCACATTTCTTTCTAAGTGTGACTTTCCCTTCATCTCACAAATTTCGAATGTCATATATTCTTTATGACTTGGTTTTCTGGGTTCCATATACTTTCTCCTGTTTTAGTTATTTAGAGGACTTTAGGTATTTTTTGTTACTGATTTTTTAAAAATTATGATGAAATTGATCACACACACCTGTCATCCCAGCAGCTCGAGTGGCTGAAGCAAGAGGATCAAGTTCAAAGTCAGCCTCAGCAATGGCGAGGCCCTAAGCAATATAGGCACTAAGCAATTTAGAGGCCCTGTCTCTAAATAAAATACACAATAGGGCTGGGGATGTGGCCCAGTGGTCAAGTGTCCCTGAGTTCGATCCCTGGTAACCGCTCCTGCCCCAAAAAAGTTTATTTCTTTTATATATATATATAAATTATATATTATAAATATAAATTATAAATTTATATTAGTTGTAGTTGGACACAACACCTTTATTTTATTTATTTATTTTTATGTGGTGCTGAGGATGGAAATCGGTGCCCTGCACGTACCACAACCCCAGCCCTCAAGTTAAACTATTTCAAAGTGCCATTTAGTGGAATTTAGGACATTTACAATGTCTAATTTGTCAAAAGGGAATTATGTACCCATGATTACTAATGTCTACCTCGATTGCATTATGGACTCAAAACATTTTCTGCAGTATCTAAATTCTTCAAAATTCATTGAAATTCGCTTCAGGGGCCCAAGTTACTTTTCTGTGAAAAGTGAACATGTTTCAAAGATTTTTTTTCCATGTTGGTACATATTGCTTAGTTCATTTGCTTTGATTGCTGCATGGTGTCCCCTCATGTAAACATACCATATTGAGGTTATTTCCAGTTTTTCACTGTTCTAAACCATGGTGCAGTGAACATTCTGGAATGTGTCTCCTTGCTCATGAACTTCTCAGCATTTAAGTAGAAGTGGGCTCACTGTGCCGTAGGCGTMTGGCTTCTTTACCGGATATCGCTAAAGTGCCCTCCGGGCTGATTGGACCAGGAGGGGTCCCTCTGACAGTGTTCAAGACTGTCCTTACAGGTTTTCTGCAGTCTGGTGTGACTGCACATCGTCTCAGTGTTAGTTGACCATTCTGCGGGAATTGCCATCCGCGTCTCGTGTTTCTTCCTTACTGATTGGCAAGTGTCCATGGGTAGACCTGAACTCATTTCTCAGGTGTAGAGTTGCAAAAAGACCTAGAGTGTGGCTTTCCCTTTTTAAAATCTCTTTTTATATGGGAATGTTAACTTTTTAAAAAATTGTCTTACAAGTTTTTCTGTGCGCTGCAAATGTTTCAAATACACGTTTCATGGTTAAAAAGGTCAGTCACCTTATTGGGGGTGGTCTGGGGGCATCCTTCCAGACCTTTCCTGTGGATCTACGAGCATCTCATTTATAAGCCCCCTGCAACAGGACCAGAGGACCAGTACGATATTACTCGGCTCCCTGTTTTCTACTTACATTTTTCTGCGTCAGTATGTTCTAATAACAGATTCTTTTTAACTGTCTCGAAACCCTCAGTGGTGTGGCTGCGCCTTCAGTTCTGCCAACTTGCTCTCCAGTGTCCACTCCCACCAGCTGCAGGGACACCCCAGTCCCACATCTTCTCCAACACCAGACGTTATCAGGTGCTGCTGTTTGGCTCTTGAGTGTCCCCGAAGGGCCCACATGTTAAAGGCTTGGTCCCCAGGTTGGTGCTCTTGGGAGGTGAGGGGCCCCAGTGAGAGGTCTGGGGTCACTGGAGGTGTGCCCTCACAGGGGACTGGGCCCCACCCCTCTCTTTTCTGCTCTCTGGCACAAGGTGACCACAGGCCCCTGCCTTGCCACAGGCCCAGAAGCAATGGCATCTATAAAGCCAGGAACCAAAATCTCTGAAATTTTGTGAGCCAAAATAAGCCTTTTTTGTTTTGTTTTTGGTTTTGGTACCAGGGACTGAACCCGAGGGCACTTTAGCACTGAGCCCCATCCCTGGCCCTTTTTATTTTGAGAGAGGGTCTCCCCAT